TCCGAAACTTGTAGGTCCCATTCCTTGCCCAAACACAGAGTGTTGAGGACCATCTGGGACATTTTCTTGGGCTCCATCTAAATCAAGGTTGTATCATTGCAGCAATTTTTGTAATTTGAAAAGAATAAACATTTACTTACGATGTATAGCAGGACCAGGAACTGCCTCAGCAATCTCAACCGGGACTTCACTCTGTGCAACGTGCCCCTGGCGTACTAGATATGACACAAAATCCTTTGCAGCATTTGACTGGGCATCTTTTTTGTTTGTCGAATTACCAGCACCCACATAATTGTGTCCATTTACGCGTACTTCGCAGAGGAATCTCTGACGATGCTTAGGTCCTGGAATGCAAGTTTAGTAGTAGATATTTGGGTAACAGCAGTGTTTGCATACTCACCGGTAGGCCTAACTTCGAACACAGGTTCTACCTTATTTTTCTGGCAAAACTGGTGAAGAAACGACTTTACATCTCCCATTTCGGGAAATTATAATGACTAGAGCAATGTAATCAAATACCTTTCTGCAAAACCACTTTTTATGGAACGGAAGTCAAAAAATTCGAAAACACGTAAATTGACAATGCCTTCCAGAACAATCAAGAACAAAAATATGGCGGCGCCCAACATGCAGGACCTAACGGCTAACGACAGTGTTGCCGAACCGAAAAAGATGAAATCTGTAGATTGTGTCGTTGAAATTCGGTAAATTCAAAGACATAATTGGTAGGAGGATAAAATCGGGGCCGTCACAAGATCTTTGCGCCCTCTAGGCAAAAGGTAAATTTTTGTTACACAAACAGTACTTTTGAGGGCATAGGTATGTTCCTAAATAAATATGACGTCCTTCAATCCCCCATATTTATATGGCCACTCGAAACCATGTGTTAAAAAAATCTTGTGACAGTGAAAAACGAAAAAATTCTCAAATTATTAAGTCGTATATTTTTGATATAATTTAACGATACACAAGAATAGAGTACTTTAACCCTCCCGCCGTGAATCAATTTTCGATTTGGTGCAACATGGGTGCAACCCTGCACTCTTCAAATTTTTAAATTTCAGCATTCGGTGCTCCATGAATGCTCCCCTTTCTCCGCACTGGAATTTCAGATCACAGGGATTGTGCAACCCTTCTCTTTTAATTATTTTAAATAGTTTCATTTCAGCATTTGATGTTACCCACCCTCCCTTCCGCTATTCAATTTTCACATCCGAGTGGAGCTCAAGCAAAGAAGCCCACCTCTTAATATTTTCATGACCGGCAAGTTTTTGCTTTCGGTTATACCTGACATCCCGACAACCCTGCTACAGAATTAAAACACTGTCATACACTGCGTCTTCTCCACTTTTCATACGTCCGTCACCGCGTTGTGTGCTTGGGTGATTATAGTTGCGGAACCTACTGATTTTTCGGAATTTCTACCGCAATACCAAAAACGTCCTCATTCTTCAGGATTTTTCAAAATAACTTAGATATTTCTAGTTTTTTACCGTAAAAGAGTTGGAACCAAGAATAAATCCAAAGAAATGAGTTCTATGTAGTTCATTACCTAATTTTAAACTCCATACCAGGAATACATAAGCGTACTAGGCAAACGAGCACACAAGGAACGTTTATTTGGATTGCCTTCAATTTATGTACGCACAACCCTTATTCGACTTTCCCCATATTGGTTTTTGTGCGTACAACAGGTACAGATTGTGGGTCATTACCCCATCACCGAACGAGTACCTAATAAGGAAGCCGAAGCTTGTTCATGAATAAAACAGCACAGCAAAACATTCGGAATCTTATCAGCAAGAATATCTAAAGGAATTTCTATGATGGTTGCAAAGGAGTTTGACGAGCGACTAGAATGCTCATTGTACAAGTTGTAACAAAGAACTTGCAGTATCTGAAACTTATCCTGTGATTTTCATGTCGATAATCCTGCATATTTCTTTGGCCAAATTGCGTGGTGCTTCTTAAAATTTGTAATGATGGCTCCGCGCAATCTCAGCAGGTTACGGAACCGCTTTCACACTATTTTAGTTGTAATTCGGTCTAAAATCGGTACATCTACTGAAAAATAGATACATCTGGTAGCAGTGGGATGACGAGTCGTGAGACGCGAACGAAATACACATGAAAACACGGTTACTCCGTAAACCGCTCTCACACGACGTGGCGAATTCCTTACAGCGTTGGACACATGGCTATTCGCCACATCGTGTGGGAGAGCGCCAGGCCGTATGCTCCGCTGTTCGATTTTCGTCCGCCGGCGCGCATAACGATACGCGGAGAGTGATTATCATTTGTGTTGATATGGGTAACGTGCATATTTTCAGCTACAGGCCAAACGGCTGGACGGATTTTCACATATGAGGTGTCGTTGGATTCGTCTTAGCGGTGCGAGTGACACTAGCTACATCCAAATTTTATAAAAAACAAAATTGTGGATTTTAATAAAAGATTTCAACCTTGTAATTCCTACTTCATAGGGTACAGATAAAACGGCTTGATAGATTTTCACATATGAGGTGTCGTTGGATTCGTCTCAGCGGTGCGAGTGACACTAGCTACATTGAAATTTTATTAAAAACAAAATTGTGGATTTTAATAAAAGATTTCAACCCTGTAATTCCTATTTCACAGGCTATAGCTTAAACGGCTTCTAGCTCCACAATAGAGCGTATCGTCTCTTCACTGTAAAAACAAGATTTCCTTTTACGATTTTTCTGGTCTTTCAAACTTCTATTCAGTTCATTGATCCGGAAGAACATCCTTGACCTGAAAAACAGTTTTTTAGCTATTTCAGGGCAGTCAATGTTGCTGCTCTTCAACAGAAGTTCACCTATAAAATTTTGCTTTTTTGTCACTATTCCGTCCCCACTGAATGTAGTGAATACCTTGTTCAGCTTCTCAATTTGATTCATGAAAGTTGCGGAAGGTTTTGATAATCCACCCTCACTAAGATGGTCTATCCATGAATAAGTTTAATTTGAGGAACTTTTCAACCTCTCATCCTGCAATTTATTGCAAACAAAGCCTGCCAAATTTTCCAGCCCGTCATACTCGAGCTGATCTATTTCTTCCAGTAAAACTTGCTCGGTATAGTCAGCTGATACTTCAGGTGCATTCAGTTTATTCTCGTTAATGATGCGGTTAGTGTTTAGTGGAATGTCTGGAGTATTCTCTGACTCTACGCTGCAATAGGTACTCTGAGTATGCGCCTTCGTTCCGCCCCAATATATATGACCTTATTCTATACTTAAACTCTAAAGGACTTGTATGTTCATGAAGACCATCTTTTGCCCTAATTACTCCGAAAAAGTTTTCTATCACATCTTGATTAAGACGTCTTGTTAACAGGTATTGGTCGCTGAAGCGTCGTTTCAGATCCTCTAGAGCATTTTCTAGCCAACCCTAGCGCTTTTTACATTGATTTTGTCTTATCTTTTTGTGAGATGTAGATGCTAAAGTTTGGGTCTTGAGGAAAACTGTGGAACTTCATGTCTTTGCAAAGATTCCGTTTAGATTGATTGTCGGAATTACATCCCAGAACAGCACACCGCATTTTTATCAATTTATCAACCACACAGGGTAGTAGTAAGGTATGTATAACTAATACGACAAGCCACAAAACCACCAAACAACACCAACAAATCGCACTATATAGTATTAACCACGATACACGTGAACTGCAGTAACGTTACGACAATCCTGCCGCTGGTAACCACGAGCCGATAACTCTCCGGGTGACGTCACGAAGCTCCGCCCACATGCGCAATATCCTATCTTCAGTGAAGGGGAATCGTGGGAGAGCGCTGACGGGTTGCATGTGTCCCACGTTCGCCACATGGCACGTTCGGGATCTTGACCCGCGTCAAAGGACGTTACAACGTTGGAAGTGGTTGGAAGGAAGCATGGTTCGTTACACTCCCACACGAGATGTCATGTGTTTGATCGTTTTAGGTTAGAAGTAGTAGCGGTGACAAACATTATTTATTTGTTTGCTGTAATTGTGGTGAAGTAGTGGTATGTGGGAAGTATTTTGATTTGAATATCTACCTATTCATAATAATATATGTTCCGTAACTGACTTTTGAGGAGAATGCATCAAATTAGTATACATACAAATCATAGGCTGCCATAATAACACTTTTTTGATATTGCTAATATTTTGTACGTTTCGCAGGTGAGTTATGGCTGGCCTAAGGATATGTATTTTAGTAAATTATAAATTATCAAGTGCTTACAGTTGTTTCATTATTATGTCCTGTTGCAATGCAAGACTAGTTGACAAATACATTGACTTCCATTTCATAACTAACGAAAATGATAACTCTGAAAGTACTATCACGATTTTGATGAAACTTTGGCCCTAGATTACTATGGAAATAACGAAAAAGCTCTGCAGTTTTTGAAAATCGGTACATTGGCGGTGGAGCTATTGTCGAAAAACAAACAAAAAACGGTCAAACTTCATTTTTCGACAATTTTTAGGCTTCTGCCGGACTTAAGTTTTGGTCGCTGAGGACAGATCTGAAATTATTTTTTGGCGCTCGAAAAAATTGTTTCATCGTTTATTTTGTATAATTTTTCCTTCAGTTGTAAAGGTTCAAGCGCGACACTGACACCGATAATAGACGTTGGCACCACCATGCGTTGGAACTTCCGAGACTAAAAAGTTCATCCCATCGTGTAGGAGACACACATGCTGTGAGGTGGTAAAGGTTTTAAACAACGTTGTAAACAGCCTTGGAAGCGTCGTTTGGGACCCGCATTAGCCGTTAGTCAAAAGGCTACATGTCTACATTATGGAAACGCCATTATGTCATGACAGATAATTGTAAACACGTTTATATGATGGTAGCTTTTGCATAATATAATCAAATAATTACTCGTTCGTTTGCATTATACACAAAAGTCAATAGGATTCAAATACCATGTCATATATATTTGACTATTCTCTAAAATTCGAAATTGTACTGTGCTTTTGACGTTGACGTAGTTTTGACTCGACATTGACAGAAGTTCATGGCCGCCGACCATTCCGAATGGTTCGAAAAAACCAAAATTCTAAATCTCCCAGCAAAAAATCAAGAAAAGCAGACTCCGATGGGGCAAATGTGATGTTCAGCTCATATACTACTACTTCAGTTCATAAAAGGAACCTATATATAGTTTCCTTTCCTATTATTTTCTTATTCAACGTACTAAGGTCCTTACTTTACCAAATTTTCCTTATATTGCGATTCATCTACTGTAGCTCCAGATCATATTTTGTCCGCCACAGTAAGTTAGACTTAGAAAATGGAAGTAATGCGGAAAGGAATACATGTGTAGTTCAAGAGATCAGTGGTAAGTTCAACTGATGTTTTTGTTGTAATTACGTATTGCTGATTATGCTTAACTGAATTTTGATTAAAGTTTGTTGGGCTGTTTGGTTTTGGATGAATAACATGCTAATTATCTATAGAACGCCTTTTCCATTATTAACTTGGACGTACTTCTTTTTGTTTATGTACTATATTCAATCATTGTAGGCAAAAATATCTAGGAAACAGAATGCATCAATTGAATAATAAGTTCTTATAAGTGATTTTCCAAAAAACCCATAATAAATCAAATTTTCATTTTTGTGAATATCATTGATTTTTTATTTTGAATCTTTTTGTTTGCATTTTATGGTGCTTGACAGCGATGACAGTTAACAGCTAGAGATGAGTTACCCATTCATATGTTTGTGTGTATTCAATATTCATATTAAATGTGGGTGTAGGTTGTTGGCATAGCAGAGCCGCTTATCAGTGCCTCATTTTTATTACTCAGAGTAACTCGGTACTGAACACCACCTATCACCTTTCCACTGCTCTATAGTTGTAGTCACTGATCTTGATGGTTACATCATCAACGACATATGAAATAAGTAAACAGATAGAGTCTCTGTACCATCGTCGGATGTTAATCTTCGGCGCATCTGCTACTCTCCCCAGTACGCATGAAGTGGGTAACATTGGACTGCTGTTTTCATTCTCTTCCTGGAAATACTCTAATAAACTTAGCACGAGCTGTCGGCCTTCTCCATTTATCATATTTCCGGGCATTGTACAATTTTATATTGAAGATTGATAATAGAACAACTCAAATTGCACGCCGATGTCAAGTAAGTTGTCACTCTGACAAATATGATTGAAAGGAACTCATACCCAGTGTTGCCAGGTGGAGTCGACGATAGTTCGGTAGATTGAATACTGAAGAGTATATGAAGGCATTTACTTAAAACAATTTTATTTAACTCAAAATATACTCTAAAACAAAGAGAAAACAAAAATAAACAGTTTATAATCAAATTCAAGCGAATAACCAAATGAAAGTGGTATTTAAAATTTTGGATTGGTATTTAGCGATCTGTTCAAGCGAGTGTGGTTATCACTTTGGTGATAAGATCCGTGACGTCATGAATCAGCTGTTATATGTCATAGTTATCACCGTAAAATTGTGGTATTTACCCAACTCGGGAGTAGTTTTATATTTCTGGTTATTATTTGAAATGTGACAAGTTAGAATTTTGGCGGGTTTTGGATATTTTTGTTATACTTCAGCTTCATTTTTGAGAAACTTGATACAGGCTAACTTTAGTTGTAGCATAAAGTAGAGCAACTTATTAGATATACTCATTACTGTTGTTGGCGACACTTTAAATCTAGTCCTAGGCTTAACAAAGTATCCTGTGTAGCCATATACCACAAGAATATTAGAATATGGCCATATAAACTCACTGGCTAATATCCACCTGTATATATGGTTTTGCTAATATCTTTTTTCATCTCTTTATCCTATCATTTCTGTTAAATCAATAAATGTTTTCTTTAACATGCGGAAAAGTTTAGAGAATTCAGGGTTATCATAGCTACAAAGGCATGGTTCCATCGTTCAAACATTTTTCTGAAAAAAAATGTCTCCCATTAATTTTATGAAAGGTTTCTTTTTTAATAGTTCCTACACTGTTCTAGACGAAAAAGCACCGATTATTAAATGATAATAAAAATAATCAGAAATTATATACGCGCTTTTCTAAAATAAACAACTTGCAACAAAACCGCGATTAAAACCAAGACGTTCAAGCGATTCGAGTAACTGACGTCATCAACCCGTGTGTCATCTTAAACCATATTATAACCGCGGTACATAATACAGAAATTTTGGTTATTCGCTTGGATTTGATTTATATCTCACTTTAGCTAACTAAAAATAAAATATTCTTAATAAAAAACAGAAAGTGTATAAAATAAAAAATGTGTAAGCTATATTGGATAATCATTCTTCGGATTCATTTTTGTATAAGCTTTTATCAGTCATATTATCTACTAATTTTGCTTTGCCAAATGGTCCATCAGCAGGAATGGCAAATTATGCTCGGCCAAAAATGCGCTCAAACGAATTTCTCATGTAAATAATAAAATAATCGATATAATCTCGAATCTTCTCAAATTAATTAATTAATTTCACCTTCTTGAATACCATTTTCTAATTTCTTTGATGCACCTGCAAATAAATGCAAATGACAACAGTTTTGGCTGTTTTGCTGTGGTTTGCACTTTCTTTTCATGAAATTGCCCATTTGCGTGTTTTATAAGTGCATCTCTTCCACTTGTGATATTAATATCTTTATCACAGACCATGCATTTTGCATAACCACTGTCACAGTCTGCCATTTCTTGATTCTAGATTGTAAACGCACGCTAAAAAAATATGACTGCAACACAGGCAATACTAATACTGGCCGAATTCTGAATTACTGAGTACACAAAAACATACAAATCATAGAATTCAGACATGGACTTGTCACAAGCCGCTAGGCCTTGGCGATGTAGCCAAATCTTCGGTGATTCCCCAGATGCGAAGAATCAGCGTATGTGGCACACCAATGTCAGGCAAGGAGAATAAAAATATTTCTGATCTAGTACGAATAATAATAGTACTTTTGTGATTCTTTTTATTGCTAAAAAAAATTATTCAATTGAAAGAAAAGTCCACTTTTCGGTAGATTTTGCTTTAAAATCGGTAGTTCGGTAGACCAGGACCAACATCGGTAGATCTATCGAAAAATCGGTAGACCTGGTAACACTGATCTCAAAGATCTCAGGTGCATGACACTCTAGAGCAGTGGATCGGTATTGACAGGAGGTGGGCAGCACTGAGTAACACAAATGATGCCCTGGAAACTGGAAAGCGGCACTGAGCTAGTCATTTTTTAAATAGCCTGCCCCTTGTGCACTATCTTTTATTCAGTGTTATACACTCCGAAATAACGAAAATGACAATGTGTCAAAATTGTTAGGTTATGTTTTTCGCCGTTTTTGTTTTTTTTTTGCATTAAACTCAGATTAAACTGATACCAGACAATGGAGGATGGTAAAAAACTGGTAATGTATCACCCAAAGTCACAACCTACATGCCTGGCTGATACATTTGAGATGTTCCTGAATAATAAAGATGTCAAGAGAGCGCAAGAAGGCAAGTTCATAGAAGCTTGTAGTTAACTCCATCTATAACTAAACACTTTGAAAATTATTTTGAATGTCTACAATGAAATTTGAATTTGGACACATTTACCCAGCAGCTTTACAATAAAAATGCAGACCTCTGACGTGTTGCGCCATCATTCTAAAAGCATCATTAGGCGTCAATTGGATAGTCTGACAATGCTTCTGAAAATAAAGGCAAAATTTGTTTCACATTTTCATTGTTAGTTTGGCAGTGTGATACAAATTGTCAACGTCAAACCAAAACATCAAAAAACAGGTTAGGCTTTTATCGTTGCGTTCCCACGCACTCTTGCTAGAGCAGTTTGGGAGTGTCACACTCGGGGTGCATACAACTCTCAATTCAAAAGCATTGGAAAGCGGTTTAGGTGCAAGCAGCACGCTTCACATTTTCACATTGTTGAGATTGCCACTGGTTAAAAATTAATCATACCAAAATCTTGTTACATGCAACTTTTCACCCATGTCAGGAAGATGAATGTATTCTAAGTGACATGAGCAGTGCGATTATATATAATCAAATTCAAGCGAATAACCAAATTAAAATGGTATTTACAGATTCGTTCAAGCGAGTGCAGTTATCAGTTTGGTTATAAGTCCGTGACGTCATGAATCAACTGTTATATTATGTCATAGTTATCACCGAAAAATTGAGACGTTTTATATTTCTGGTAATTATTTGAAATATGACAAGTTAGAATTTTGCAGGGTATTGGATATTTTTGTTGGGGACACTTTAAAGTTCCTATGCTTAACAAAGTATCCTGTGTAGCCATATGCCACAAGAATATTAAAATATGGGCATATAAACTCATTGGATAATGTCCATCTGTATACGGTTTTTCCTTTCATTTCTGCTAAATGTTTTCTTTGACATGCGGCAAAATTTAGAGAATTGAAAGTTATCATAGCTACAAAGCCATGGTTCCATCATTAAAAATTATTTTCTAAAAAAAACACATTTCTCCCATTAATATTATGAAAGGATTTTTTAACTTTCCATGCACTGTTGTAAACGAAAAAGCACCGATTATTAAGTGATAATAAAAATAATCAAATTATATACGCGCTTTTCTAAAATAAACAACCTGCGGTACATAACACAGAAATTTTGGTTATTTGCTTGGATTTGATTTATGTTTTTGCAACCTTGCCTATTGTTTGGTTTGTACTTCAAATTATGAATTATGGAATGCAGAATTTCTTGTGGATTCGCGCGAGATGCCGTTGGGGGTGCGTACCGAGGTAAATTTTGATAATAACAGAGTCGGATTTCGATTAGCGATCTAGCCTGTAAATCGTCTCCTATTTTGGTACTCTGCAAGTGATCATTTAGTATTGTTCTACCCTTGTTACTGTTCGTCGATATTGTGTTGTTGAATTGTTGTGCTGTACTCTTGTTGGTGTGATTGTTCTTGAGTGCCTTTTTTTATCAAGGTTGATAATGGACAATAAAAGGTCATAATTTTAATTACGAATGCAGTGAGTTTAATTCATAATGAGGACAACAATAGTGTGGAGCAGTTCAACTCTATAATCGCAAAATACATTGGGGTAAGCTTGAAAAGGAAGTCAGACCAAAAAAAGCGGATATAAAAATAACTAACAATTCGGATAGCAATTCCAAAGAAAATGAATAGTTTTATGGCGAATTCTGTCAAAAACCTGACATGAACGACCTTGATTTGGAGGTTGCTGAGCAAGAATTTTTAGGGAAACTTGGAAAAAGTGACGACGAGATTTTGCAGATCGAACAAGTCACCAAATCACAGGATTGTACTTTGTGGCGTCTTCATCGGAGGATGAGGTTAAGAGCGTCTCGATTTGGTGAAGTTTGTAGAAGAAGGCAGACATCGAGCTGTAAAGTTCTAGTAAACACCATTATATACCCAACAGAGTTTTCTAGTAAGACAATAAAAAAAGCAATACAAAAATCATGGGACACGGCAGTTCAATCTTGTGGTTTGTTTATTGATCGCACACATCCATTTCTGGCAGCATCACCTCCATCTACCTATTACAGTAGACAAGACATGTACTTAATTCCGGTATAAGCCTACCTGTTTATTGCTTTGCAAAAACTACCTAACTAACTTCCTCTTATTTTGACGGCATAAGATATTTTTATGACCCTCGTTCAATTGTTACCATCTACCACATGACCCTTGTAAACATAATTGTGTTTATTGACATGATTAAGCGAATTTGAATATGAGTTCTTGAATTTATTTTAGGAAAGATATAAAATTATTTGAATACATTTGTTTAGTCGGAACGCAAAGTCGTGTTGCTTGGACTGGGAGTACGAAACAGTAAACGAATTTCGCCCAAAAACCGATTTGCACTTCACAGCTTACGTTTCATTTTTTATTATTTCCAAATGAAACTCTTGCAGCGTGCTAAAAACAAAGTCCACACGGTGCTAACGATCCACTTTTTCGATTTTATCCACTAAGATCTTTTTGAAATATCAAGAAGTTGAGCACAAATAGTAAGCATTTCAACCCACCATAATTCTTGCGCAAAGACAAACTTTTGTAAAAAGCTCTGATAGCACCCTAGGCAATTATGTCCTGCTTATATCCAGAAAAACATCGCAAACTGCAGAACACAAATTGCAGGTAACGGCGAAATGCGTACATTTCACGGGCCATGAAGTTCAAACTAAAATGCAGGTATAAAATATACCAAATTATCATTCTCAAAAACATATTTCCTTGACATATCGATAATTTTAAAGTTCCACGCTAAATTCCCCTATACTTGACTGGAGTGATATCCGAATTTATTCTTCCCGACTGTCGATAGTTGCAGATCTGTTGGCTCTTGGTGTCAAACCTATAGAGCAGGTACCGATTTTTTCGTCGGATTTTCGTTACTTAAATTTCCTGTAATTACTGGGATCAGATGCTTCTTAATAATAGAACGTGTTTAACTGATTTCAACCCCCCCTTTTTAAGCAGTACAATTTTTTTATGGCAATGATTAGGAACCCCTGAAACGTCAAAAACGGAGTTTCAGCAATTGTTACTTTTTATTTTTTTCCTATAGCACCGTTGCCACTGGACTAAAACTACAAAGCTTTGGCATACTAGTAACCCCGTGTGGAGATTTCATAAAAATCCGAGCGGTAATTCCCAAGTTGATGATGAGTGATACAGGTTTTCGTTATGTAGATGTCGTATGACTTGAAAAAACATATCATCTTAGAAATTTTTTGCGATTACAATACTTCCTCACAAATGGCGTGGGAAGTAAAACGTCTTTAAAATCGAGGAGTATCAACGATCGCGATTATGAGTACCTATTTGCAGAACGACTTATCTACGCGATATTATATGAAATAGGGCCACCAAATTATCTGAATACATCAGTCAGTACATTGCGCCGCAACGCTTGGGTAGGCAGCACGAAACAGTAGACAAAATTCGTCCAAAATGCGATTTGTAGAGGTTTGCGCGGTTCGAAATTTACGCTTTATTTTTTGATATTTTTGGATGACATTTTCACAGTGTGCTGAAAACAAAACCCCACAGGGTGCTATAGGCCACCTTTTCATTTTTTTCACTAGGTTCTTTTTAAAAAAGTAGAACAAACAAAAGTGCGCACTTCAACCCGTTATAAAACTTGTGCAAAAACAAAATTTCTAAAAGTGTTCCTATAGCATCCTGGGCAATTATCTTCTCAACGTACTGTAAGAATTTCATTCAAAAATATTGAAAAATAGAGTGTCAGTTTCTAAGCAGCTGAACCCTTGTAATTGGCTTGAAACTCACTGCGTCGGAGCCGCCTTAAGCTTTACATATATAAATCAAATCCAAGCGAATAACCAAAATTTCTGTGTTATGTGCCGCGGTTATAATATGGTTCAAGATGACACACGGGTTGATGACGTCAGTTACACGAATCGCTTGAACGCGTTGGTTTTAACCTCGGTTTTATTGCAAGTTGTTTATTTTAGAAAAGTGTGTATATATCTCTGATTATTTTTATTATCACTTAATAATCGGTGCTTTTTTATCCACAACGGTGTATGGAAAGTTTAAATAAGAAACCTTTCATAATATTCTTGGGAGAAATGTTTTTTTTTCAGAAAACAATGTATTAATAATGGAACCATGGTTTTGTAGCTATGATAACTTTCAATTCTCTAAAGTTTTCCGCATGTCAAAGAAAACATTTATTGATTTAGGAGAAATGATGAAAAAAAGGATGAAAAAAGATATTAGCAAAACCGTATACAGGTGGACATCATCCAGTGAGTTAAATGGCCATATTTTAATATTCATGTGGTATATGGCTAAACAGGATACTTTGTTAAACATAGGAACTAGATTGAAAGTGTTCTCAACAACAGTAACGAGTATAACTAATAAGGTGCTCCACTTTATGCTAACACTGAAGTCAGCCTGTATCAAGTTTCACAAAAATGAAGCTGAAGTACAATAACAATATCCAATGCCCGGCAAAATTCTAACTTGTCACATTTCAAATAATAACCAGAAATATAAAACTACTCCTGAGTTGGGTAAATACCACAATTATGCGGTGATATAGTGGATACCAAATAAAACCCGATGCACGTCATCGATCTGGAGCTGTGCGCTGTTGCCAGAATTTGCACATTTTCTTTTAAGCAAATAAATTTAATAAAATAAATTGTTTATATATACCTACCATTTACTATAATACCATTATATTAAAAATAAATAAACTTGTTGTAAAATTAAATTCCTTTCTGAATAAAAACACCTGATTTTGGTAGATATTCAATGATATGAGCTCTTTACACCGACTGTTAAGTTGTTTTGGCATTTTGGATACTTTACACCACTTCACAGTAACTGTTGTTCTGAAAAGAACAATTTTTAATTGGCAAGGCAACGATTCAAAGCTCAAATAACGCAAAACTCACAAACTAAACAATAAAGAACTAATAGTACGACAAAAGGACAATGGCAACTGATGTCAACAAATGAGAAGTGGCAACCTCACATTTCTCTGCACGGCACTACCAACCGAATCGAGACGGGGAAATTTAAACTTCAAGTAGAAATGTCACATTGAATGTAGTCAACTGTTGGTAACCATGATTTTTATGAATCACATCACCTATGACGTGCATCGGATTTTATTTGGTATCCACTATAACTGTGACATGTAACAGCTGATTCATGACGTCACGGATCTTATAACCAAACTGATAACCACACTCGCTTGAACGGATCGGTAAATACCAACACAAAATGGTAAATACCATTTTCATTTGGTTATTCGCTTGAATTTGATCATACAATACTCTTATTCAATAAAAAAAACTCCCATTCACGAATAGCAATTACATACCTCCCATCTCTACACCCAGCTGTGATCTGTCAGTTTTGCCAGCTGTTTTTTGACCTTCCATCTCGCACTCAAGCAAAAAAGTATTTGAATATGCCGGAATTTCGACACTTAAACAAAGAAAATTGGTGGGAATAAAGTGCGACTTCAATTTTAGGCGTGATGATATTTTTATTTTAGATGATTCTTTTTCAAAAGTGTTGCATTCATATTTGTATTCCAGCAAGAATACCAAATTTTGAAAGACATTGTTTTTCATAGATTCACAATTCCAATTTAAACACCTTACAAAAAGGTGTAGGAGAATAAACAATGTCTAACAACTTCTATGTTTTGTCCTAAAAAACCACATCTTTAATAACAGAAAATTTGCTTTATAGAAATGGCTCATGTTAGACCCAGTGGACCAGGCCCTGGTGATCCATTATTGGCAAAGCAGAAGCATCATCATAGGCGAGCATTTGAATATATATCCAAGGCTCTTAAGATAGATGAAGAGAATGAGGGTATGTGAGGGTTTTACGTATCAGTGCCATCTTAAGCTATTTAGGGGCTCCTAGGCACACAGGATGCTTGGGGCCTGCAGCTGAAGGGGGCCCCAGACCAGAGCAAAGTCAATACCCAGGCCTGGGCCCTGTGTGCCTATAGGGTAAAGACAAAATAGATTAATATGCAAAAATATATCAAACAATTTAAAAAATTGATATTGATAGGTATCAAACTACTCTCTATTATTCCTATTATAGAAAGCCTGGCTAAGTTGAAAAAAGTGAAGATCGAGCAAGGTTTTCCAAAATTAAATTTAGGTGCCATTAGTGCCAATGGTCAGACTATTGTAGCTCCTCATGCGATCATTAAGAAAATCTCAGGTATATTTTCAAAAATTTATAAGTTTATGATTTGCATTAATCTTTTCACTAATATAGGTAGTAAGAACTTATTAACCATTAAAAGCTTTTATTAAGGTTTAAAACTTAATAATTTCATCATGCTGCTCTTATATTAAATGTTTGTCTGAATGCTGTTTATCAGTCGCTAGTATTGGATAAATAAAATGCTAAATGACACCTAAGACAAAGAGGTTAAATATTTTCCTCAATATAGAAGTACTTTCATAGAATGTATTATTAATATTATAAAAATGTGACTTGAACCCTCATAATACTAATATAGTTGTCTAAATGAGAATTCATTTTGTCTTGAACATAGTTGTTATATTTGTCTTTCAATAAATCTAGTGCCATTATCATAATTCTGACACAAACATAATTTACAAAATACTACTTGAAGTTAATAAATGAACCAAGTACTACTTTTTCAAAAAGCTGTGAAGCAGGTACTCTAGCGATTGGAATACCAAGCACCAGGTAGACTGCCAGGTACTGGGTCAAATGATTTGCTCTGTTTCAGTTACTGTTAGTATTATTACAATTACATTCGAGGTTTTGAAATCATCTTTTATTCTCAAAAATTATTTACTTTTCTAAGAAATTAACACAGCCTAAAAAAAGTAGAATAACTACAGATTAGACAAGATTTTGTAAGTGAACACTGTAAATGGGTGTATTTGTGGAATTTATAGAAGTTTTGTTTTTCAAGTAAGACTCTTGCAAAAAAAATAGGTATATGTTCAACAACTATAGATTTTGGCAGTTACAATATTGAGTTGAAAGAGAAACCATATTTTGACATTAGATTTTATGAACATTTCCATCTTTGATGTTATCAGTTTTTATATTACAAATGAAGCATATTTGTAAAACTTTCAAAAGGTATCCTATTGATATCTTAAACCTACATTTTTGTTGGATGTACAATCACTGGTATTTCATATACCTTTCTGGGTTTCCTTTGGGGGAGCTTACAAAAGAAACACTAATTAATAGTGCTTGACCTGACAGACCAATTCAGATTTCTTGGAAAAGTCTATACCTGAATTATCCTGTTTTCTTTTGCGATTTCACTCCGTTTTGTTAAATTTTTTGTAATATTTGTTTATTTTTTGAGTGTTCATATTCGAGATAAAAAATGCGTTAAGGCAATACTACACTGGTTTCACTATAAGCTTTCATGAAGAACATTTAGTAACACCATGTACGTATATATGAAAGGTAAGCTACACAAATACTGTAAAAACACAGTACCTTGCTGGAGCATCCGGTCAGCATAGGTTAAAAAAAACATCCAAATCTGGCAACTGATTCCGACAAAAATGTTCTGTAACCTGGGCTATTTATTTAATGGTGTGTTGATTTCTTGGAGAACATATCAAGGATGTAAAAAAAGACGTATGAGCTCAGACTTGACATTCTGCAATTCTTTGATTTTGCACAAGTTGTGTGTATTGCGTTCAGACCGAGTAATTACGTCGCCAAGTAATTTAAAACTGGGCGAAATCGGTACCAGTACTCGGTCAAGTAAAATCGACCAGCACCGGGTACAAATCGAGTGCTCGGTGGCTCCCTATAATGAATTTTAGTTGATTTCACAGTCTAGACCTACACTATATCATATTGCCCTGTTTGCTAAGAAAATATAAGCTTTATGTAACTCCTGAAGCTTATTGTGGTTTTCATGTACATTGTCTGGCCGAATTAAAGCTCGTATATAGAGATATTCATATACCACTGACATCGTAATGGGTACGAGCGTGCAATACGTATGTTAGAAAGAGAAAATCACCTCGTTGCCTAGCAACTCGAGTGACGAGGCCAATGACGCAGCTGCGGCTTGCCACGTTACCATCGGCGCACTTTTCTCTCGGACACATTCCCTCGCGATGAAAAATGTCGAATCATTTTTTTTTTGTAAACACAACACACACGTTCAATCACTATCCAAGCCAGGAGGTTTGGAGGTTAGGCTTAGAAGAAATCACCTGACAGTAGCTCCTCTGCGTATGTCAGTTCCTTTAATTATCGCTTCAGTGCAGGCACCGATGTCGGGTTGGAACACAATGCAGAGCAAGCGCGTCACCGTTCCAGCACGGTTCTACGACGGGTTGGGACAAAGCTAATCTCAATATCACTAATAGTAGGTGAAATAACCCAGAGCAAATTTCCTCACCGAGTACCTAATACTCTATATTCGAATCTGATCGAGTTTATACCCTTTTCTCAAAAACATAATAATACTAGGTGCATCCCTTAGCATGACATTTTTCCCATTTTTCTTAGGTCAGAAGGAATTAGCAATTGACTTGTACAGAAAAGGAATCACAGAACTGGAGTTAGGCATAGCAGTACAATGTTGGGGAGGCAGAGGAGAAGTATGGGAGAGAGCTCAACGATTGCATGAGAAAATGAAAACCAACTTAGCCATGGCAAAGGATAGACTGCAATTCTTAGGTAAGATCTGTCTAGAATATCGACTATTCTACAGCCACACTTGCTATTTGAAATGTTATGTCACACACTTTATATTGTGTCCCATGTTGTTCTTACAGAGATTTGTATCAGCATCTAGTAAAACTTGTACAGATACATACGAAATTCCTTTTATTTTTTATTATAGAGAGCATGGCTTGTATGGAAAACTTGGAGATTGAACAAGAAGTTCCTAAATTAACTGTAGGTGCCGGTAGGGCTAATTGTCACAATGTGCCAGCTTCCAGAGTCAATTTTATCAAACCATCAGGTATATTTTATGTTGATTTTAGTTGCTGTCTTAGTTGCTTCTACATTTCTAATGCATTTGATGCTACCTACTAATTTGCATGCATGTAAGCGAACATCTAATACTAGTAGACTATAGTGAAAAATCTATTCCATCCCTCAACTTTGGAGTGTGGTAAAAAATTGAGGTTGTATTTCGTTATTCATTTTATTGTAAAAACTATTTCAATCCATGTAGAATAAACCCTGAAAATTTCAGCTTCCTACGATAAGTGCCTCACCTTAAAAAATCTGTATGTTTGACGCAGGTGGGTTTCTATACATGTAAACAAGAAATTCTATTTTTCGAGCTACAGTCCAAACGGCTTGATGGATTTTGACATGTGGGGTACTGTTAGATTCATCCTAGCAGTGTGAGTGATACTGCGTGTATTAACATTTTGTAAAATCAAAATGGCGGTTTTTTTACGCAAATAGCCAAATCAGCTTAATGAACTCGGCATTCCAGGTGCGGGAGCGTTCAATCTACCGAAATTACTAAGTCAGGCAATGTTCCAGTGCGGAATTTGTATCTAACGTTTGTCATCTGATTAGAATCATGTCATATTCTCCGCGAGATTATGCAGAAATGCATTGCTATTATGGTGCTGCCCTAGGAAATGCTCAAGCAGCTGCTCGCATGTATCGGGCGTATGTGGTTAGAAGAGGTGGACCACAACCGGCGGTATATCTTGACTACGCGTCCATAATGCGTTTAGGGAGGGCCGCATACTAGGCACCCATCGTCTGCTAAGAGCGCCGAGGATACGCCCAGAACAAATAGAAAATGTAATAGAAGCAGCCGAGAGAGATCCCTATATAAGCACCCAAGCCATTGCCCGAATTAAAAACATATTCTATACTGCAGTGCACACAATACTACGCTAGGAGAACATACATTCTTACCAAGTACAAAAAGTACAAGCATTGCTTCCAAGCGACTATGCACAACGGGTTGAATTTTGTGAGAAAATGTTGAGAAGGTGCGAAGAGGATGGAACTTTTTTCGACAGCATCTTATGGACAGATGACTCTACCTTTAACCGAAATGGAATATACAACATGCACAATTTCCATTCATGGAGCGTGGAAGATCCACACGCTATTCGCCGACACAGCTTTCAACGTCATTTCGGCGTTAGTTCATGGGCTGGAGTACGCAACAAAAAATTAATTGAACTATGTCAATTGCCCGCCAGGTTGAATGGTCAGTCATGTCTTGCTTTTCTACAAAGCAGTTTGCATGAGCTGCTAGAGGATGTACCTTTGGACGTTCGAAGCCGCATGTATTTGTATTTGCGATGGTGCTGAATGCCACTTTGCACGGGATGTACGGCACTACTTAGAGACTTAGACAGTGCCATTCCAGGCCGTCGGTTATGTAGAGGTGGATACATAAGATGGCCTCCAAGGTCGTCCGATTTAAATCCTCTAGATTTTTTCATATGGGGATTTTATAAGGGGATAATCTATACATCTGAATATACAAATGTCAACCAACTGCGCCAGAAAATTGATGAAGCAAAGATAAAAATTATGGAAAACGCAAATTTTTTTCAAAGACTAAAGGACAATTTTATTAGCTTTTATTAGCTTGTGTATAGAACATAATGGAGGTCATGTTTTTTAAAACTTAGTTAAATCAAATTATCCTCCACATTTGTTGGTAAATAGCCATAAAGAGCGGCTAAACACAATAGGTTCTGTACTTGTACGTGGTAAGGATTCTATTGCGTTTCTTACGTTTATCGCATCACAACAACGAATGTGACATGATACACTCATCGTAGCATGCTGAAATTTTCAGGGTTTATTCTACATGGATTGAAATAGTTTTTACAATAAAATGAATAATGAAATAGGACCTCAATTTTTTTTTACCGCCCTCCAAAATTGAGGGATGGAAGAGATTTTTCACAAAAAAATGAATTCAAGATTTTTTGCGTTGATTTCTAATAAGCTCTGTTAAAAATTGACATAACCATTACTAAAACTAACCATTTAGCTAATCTCAGAAAAAAAAAATCACAGCCCTAAACCTAATGGTTTAGTTATAATTGCGATTGAAAGTTCATTATCCCGTTTTTTTCGAAATTTCACAAAACTGCAAATATCTCCGGACCTATAAAATTTCGGTCCACATATATAGGGGTTCATTCGATAGGTTTTGAAGCCCTCTATCACCTGACTTCCGTTGATCCACTGCTAACTTTACACCCTCTATATTATATACTCACGATAATTCGAAGTTACATACAGTGATCAACTCGGGATCTTCTCTCGAAAAGATATTAAAAACCTGTTTTTGTGGCAACTTTGATATGTTACTAATGCTTATTTTAAAATACATATGGTGTTCCACAACTTTTTATCATAGCAAACAATATAATTTATTGCAAATTTGAATAGAGATTCTAAAAACAAGAAGCTTGATAGCATATAATATATGGTTTTGATTATTGTCAGTTGTTTAGATATTTGGTCAAACGTATGAAGAAATGCTCTACTTTTTTGAAGATATTTGGATAAATCTTAGTTCACAAATTTTTTTTCTCGATTTTAAGTTGATCTGGAAAAAGCGCTAAAATTTCTTTCTATTTATACAGGGTATCTCAAAACGCAAAAGGTACCTTTTCTCAAAAATTTCAAGCGTAACGCCCTGTATATTCCTACATCGTTATATAGCTTTTTTGTGAACTATTTTTATGATAGGAGGTTTATACGAATTTTTTCTAAACGTATTTGAGTTATTGCTATTAATTTCAAGAAAAAACAAATAAATCTTGTATTTAAACATGAAATCAAATCTTCTATAAAAACAATAGCTTTTATTAACATCACAAAAATAATCTCTCTCTCAACACAGGCAATCAATCGTTGATAAATTGTTCGAATATATTACCTTGGTGCAAAGGATTTGTCCAGGAATCTGTTTATACGATTTACATGGCCCCAGAGAAAGAAATTGAGAGGCGTCAGATCGGGAGATCTCGCTGGCCAATTGATCGGTCCGCCTCTCCCTATTCAAATATTGGGGCGCCAGCGGTCTAGATACGGTCTGAGATCCGCTAGGTTTTATTAAACATCAGTGATATATGGTCCTTCGAGCTGAACACAATGGAGAATCGTGTTACCCGAGTTGCTGAAACAACACACCAACAACGTAGTTGTGAAAAAATACTGAACATGAGATCAAACACCTGGGAATTAACAGAACTACTTGGAATGTATTACAACAATTTCATAGTAAATGTGTTAATCTTGTGTTAAGATGAGTCTTGTTGTGATATATATTTTTTTTCTTGGAATTAATAGCAATAGCTATTATAAACCTTATCTCAAAAAAGTTCCCAAGGAAAGCAATTTAATGATGTAGAAATATACAGGCTGTTTTATTTGAAATTTATGAGGAAAGCTACATTTTGCGTTTTGATATCAGTATGAATAGGAAGATATTTTAGCATTTCTTTCAGATCAACTTAAAAAAGATGATAATAAAATTTGTCTAAACTGAAATTTATCTAAATATCTTCATAAATGGTGGAGCCGCGAGCAGTCAAAGTTGGGCATTTTTTTTAAACATTCCACTAAATTTCTAAACAATTGACAATCGAAACCATATGCTATATGATATAAAACGTCTTGTTTTTAGAAACTCTATCCTGATATATGCAATAACATTACGGTAATATATTTAAATAAAATACATGTTTGCTCTGGCACGAAGTTATATTGTAAATAATTTTAAAATGTACACTAGTAACATATCAAGGTTTCCACGAAAACAGATTTTTGGTATCTTTTCCAGTCTGCTCATAAAACTACTTACCATTCTCGCTAGGATACCGTTTGTTAGGATACCTTATTCATATCATAATTGACAATTTTTGTTATCGATTTTGGACTTATTGCATAAGTCTTGTGTCTGTGGTTGAGTATGTCAAATAAAATAATGTTAATTGTAAAAATGTCTTTACAGCCTCGGGCAAAAAGTTGAATGTTGCGAGCAAGCGGCCGGCCAATGCCCCTTTAGCGAAAAGTCAAACACTTCCAAGATCAATGGGTCGAACTGTCGCACCCGTCCAACCAGTTAGGCCTTTCCACAAGACTACTGCATCCACGCCACCTGCCATTAGAAAACAATTGTCCATCCCTGGCGCGGGAACTAGTTCTCCTAGCAGAAGGGTAAATGGCAACAGTGGAGGTAAGCTGGACATACTTTTTATTTATTTATCTATTTATTTATACATAATTGCCTAACAGACTAATCCAATTACCGGGCAATATAAACACACAAGAACCACATAAAACAAACATAAAAAAAATTAACTATTGTAATAATCCCTGAAGTTTGACAAGATCTTACTGATACAATCAAAATTAATGCCAGAACTGCCTGCTATGGAATTATAATTATTGCATATAGAATATAGCGGAAAATAAAATAATACGTTGATACGGCAGTAGAAAGTCCTTCTCTAATTTAAACGCGGTATACAAAAATTCAACCTCTGAAGAAGTTCCGGTGCATCCAGTCTGTCATTCAAAAGCTTATGGAGAAATGTCAGGCCAGAAACGTCTTAATTGTAGAGACTCTAGTTTGAAACTTAGCAGCAGAATAAATTTTTCGGGATATACGCCATCAATTTTATAAGCACAATATTTGTGAAATTTTCTTTGTACATTTTCTAATGAAGCAGCTAGGTTATTTATGAAGAATAAAAATAGCAAGGGGCCTAGGTTCGAACCTCGCGGCACGCCAGACGGAACAGTATAAATTGCTGAACAATAACCATTTTAATAAACATATTGCGTCCGATTGGGAGATCGACTGACGAGTCACTAAGGCCAAAGTATGTTATGTAACTGTTGTTTGAAATTTTGAGACGAAAAACGGCAAAGGAAACGTTTTTATCTGTTTAAGACTGTACTACGTGCTATACACTGTCGCTCTACAAGTTTTTTTTTAAATAAAATTTACATAATTTGTTTGTTTTATGATATTTGAGGATATGACCACCGTAAACTCACTCCATTCTCGTAAACTCGCACCACTCCCGTAAACTCACTCCGTTCTCGGAATGTCCGGGTGGACTCGAGGGAACAACATTATGATAAAATTTTTGTGCCACGAACACCATTTCGATTCCCATAATGAGCTCAGATTGGGATCAAATGAGACCGATGTAGCAGGGCGTGCAGTTGAAGCGTTCGCTATTACCCAAGAACTGACCCAGCTGGTGACGAGCCCTACTTTTTTTTTCCCTCGTTTCGTCACACGCCAATAGCCTGCTGGATCTCTTTCCGACCACGCCTCCTGTCCCTTACAGCACTGTTGTCCTGTCTCCCCTGGGTAACTCTGACCATGGTGCTGTAGATGTTAGGTTTCGGTCAGAACCCGCTGTGGCAACAGAAACTCGCCCAGGCCTGACATTACGGACATGCCGACTGGGAGGGGCTCAGAGACTTCATCTCTGCCTTTCCTATGTTTCACTGACGCGGATGCGTCGGCTGTCTGTTCTTCGATAACGGGAATTATCCACGTCGGAATGGAGGAATACATCCCTCACACAGTGAAAGTTCCTAAACCAAGGTCCAACGGCTGGTTCAATAAATCGTGCAACACTGCACGTCAGAAGAAGATCAAGGCACACAGAACCTTCTTGCAAAACCCCACTGCGGAGAACAGAGAAGCCGACGTCGAGTCCAGAAACAAATATAACGAGGCGGTCCGCAATGCCAAAGACCACCACGATATAAAAGTTGGGACACGGTAATATCGCAACGCAATGGCAGTCAGTCTTTCTGGACACTGGCAAAGTAGATTGGAAGGAACTACCCTTCCACCATTTAAGTGTCAGGATGGAACGATTGCAACCCACTCAAAGGCTAAAGTTAAAAGTACTTGTCAAGATTTTTGCGGATAACTCCACCACGAACGTCGTCCCAACGCCCGAGTGCCGTCGATTCAAAATGGTTCCCTACACTATGCGGGAAGTAACATTCAGGCATAAGACCGTAAGACGGGCGCTCGACATCAACAAAGCTTCTGATCCGGATTTAATTCCTGCCGTTGTATTGAAAAGGTGTGCATCGGAGCTTGCTCCAGTTCTTTCGCGTCTTTTACAGATATCTTTTGAATCTGGTACCTTCCCAGAAAACTGGAAATTTGCTCATGTCCAACCCATTACAAAAAATGGATCTAAGACCGACTCTGACAACCACAGGCCTATAGCTCTGATTTCTGTTATAAGCAAGGTGATGGAGAGGTGCATAAATCGCAAGCTTTTGGACTACCCCTCGAACATCACGGCTTGATTTGCAACAGGCACTGTGGTTTTCGGCACCAGCGTCACGAAATTGTGGAGTAAACTCATTATGATGAGGCTCATGTCGTTGTTCTTGATATTACGAGTGTTCGATCAGCTGTGGCACGTTGCCCTCTGATGCAAACTTCCATCCTATGGCCTCCCAGAGAAGCTTTGCTTTGCTCTCTGGCTGCAAGATATCCGTCGTAATTGACGGGTTCTCCTCTTCGTTCCACAACGTCAACGCGGGTGTTCCCCAGTGACCGGCCTTGGCCCCGACACTGTTCTTCTGACATATCAACGACTTCCTTTCCTGCACGATCAATCCAATTCACAGCTTTGCTGATGACAGCGCTCTACATACAGGAATTCAGAGCAACAAGCTGATCTCTACCGGTGAAGTTGGAAAAAATAAGACTAGCACCGACTTCCTCTCTGACGAGAGACCTGGAGGTTATCACTGCTTTGGGACGCAACAATCTTGTACAGTTTAATGCTTCCAAAACACAGAACTGTACCTTGGAAGACAAAAAGCGCCCTAGCGCTCAACCGATTTCGATGGATGGCCGAGTTCTGCCAAAAAGCCAAAGTTTCTTTGGGATCCTCATTGCAGTCGCAGTGTCCTGGCATTTAGGCTTCTGCCCTCGCGGCTGGTTCGGTGTAAGAAAAATAATGTACAGAGTTATAGTATTCCTTCCAGGGCGTGTTAGGGGGGCTAAAATGCAACCAATTTGACTGACTTCCGACTTCGAAGTTGATTCATTTATTTTAACAGTGAGTAGATCTGATCAAAAAAAATGTTTTTTTCCTTTAACATTTTTCTGGTAAAATTAAAGTAACAAAGTTATAGCCCTTTAGAAGTTTGAGTACCGCCCTGTCTCAATAATAATATTACGCGTGAGTGAATAGTGGTGTTTGTTGCGTGGCTCAAACGAAATAAAAAATGGCACATGTTTACGAAAATGCTGAACTTGTGGACATGATTCTTATTTACGGGGGGGGGGGTTTCTAAATACCTTTAAAAAACGAATTCATACTTCATTGCTCCATAAACAAATGCGTTATTAGTAGAAAAACTAAATTCCTTGTTTTTACATTATCTGGAATGAACACAATACAAGTCTGAATATAAGCACTTTTTTATGAGGGACAAAAATATGTAGACAAATTCTTTTCAACATTAGTTTAGCACATTTTCGTGTCAGAAGAGGATTAGTTTGTGTTCATCAAGTATTGTGGAATAAGTTGAGTGATTTTAAGACCATGCCGCGTGGTCCAGAAATTTCTGTCGATGTGAAAACTAAGATCATTGAGTTATACAAAGATGGTCAACGTCAAATCGACATTGCCAAAAATTTGAAGCTCAAGCGTAAAGCAGTTTGGGCAATATTGAACAAATATAAACAAAAAGGTATCTTGGAAGCCTCTAAGAGAAGTGGTCGGCCTAGAACAGAAGACAAAAGGAATTGTCAGTGTTTCTACGAAAACTATAAGTAGATTAAATGATTTGAAGTTTTTTGCACGTCGGCCGAATAAGGACCGATTACAATTTGCACGGTTGCATCTTGATTGGAGCATCTGTCACTGGAAGAGGGTATGTTTCAGTGACGAATCCAAGTTCAATATGTTTGGATCAGATGGTGTTCATTACGTTAGACGTCCTAGTGGACAAAGATTGAACCCCAAGTACACTTTGCCCACTGTCAAACATGGAGGCGGGTCTGTTATGGTTTGGGGGTGCTTTTCGGGGTTTGGGATGGGTCCTTCACTTAGAATAGATGGCATTATGGATAAGTTTGTATACACAGACATACTAAAGCATGTCATGTTACCCTATATGGAAGACAATATGCCCTTAAGATCAATCTTCCAGCAAGATAATGACCCGAAGCACACCTCAAATCTCGCAAAGAAATTCTTTCTGGATGAAAAAATACCAGTTTTCAAATGGTCTCCCGATATAAACCCCATTGAAAATCTATGGAAATACTTAGATAAGCAAATACGAGATAAGAATTATTCAAACAAGGATGATCTTTTTGCCGCTTTAGAGCAAAAGTGGAGACAGATTGATGAATCTTATATCAAGAAACTTCTACAATCTATGCCGAGACGATGCCAGGCGGTGATTGATAATAATGGTTATGCTACAAAATATTAACACAAACATGATTGGTTTTTCTATAATTCAATGAACTTTGCTTCTTCTTTCTACAATTCTTTTGCTTTGTCTATATATTTTTTCCTTCATAGTTCCAGTTTTTTTCAATTAATTTTTTTTTTAAGGGAGTCTAATGAATTTATTTATGCATAAGTGAGTATTATGCTATAACGAATTATGTATACAGGTTGGTGAATTAATGAAACAATACAGCACACTATTAAATTGTCTATATACTTTTGTCCATTACTGTAGTTCAAATGGACCGCGTTATGCATAACTTGACCAAGCGCCATTTGATAAATTTCCGGATTTTGCTGCCATATGATGCACAGTAGTTCAACTTACATATAAAAAATGCAGGCACTATAGATACCTGAGGTTCAAAAGCAAAAACATTTTTTACTAAGCGTCAAACGTAATATTTGTTATTTATTTTGCAACAGATGACCAAACGATCAGATTTTGTGTAGAGTCGGCATTTGCACTACCAATGTTTTGCATAAAGTGACCAATATTGAGAAAAGACCATCAAATGCATCGATTCTAGCATTGCTTAGTAGACCCCTCGAAAAACTGTGGTCAAATGGGAAACCTATGGCAGAAAAGAAGCTAGACGATTTAAAATCATTACTAAGTCTTATACCCAAGGATTCCAAGAAGTTCTATAGGAATCTAGTTGGCGATTCAAGTATTGAGGAAGATGTAGATGGTTCAGTGATCAACCAGATTTCGAGCTTGATGATGAATAATACAAATTTTCGATTCAGGTTCTTGATTCATTTCGAAAATGTGTGGTTACTTCTTGCTTCATTTTATTTTTGAATCAGTATATAATTGAGTTTATTATAACATTTGTCATTCAAGCAACTTCTTATTTGGTTTCGGGAATGTTTTAATTTGTGTAGTTTTATTTTTTCAATGAATTTGATGGTAATTACTAAAATTCAAAAATAAAGAATCTTTCTGCAATACATTCCTTATTTTGCATAGTATGACCAAGTAACATTTTTGTGTTGAAAAATAAGCATTCATTTTGAAAGCAATATTTGACCAAGCGCCATTTCATTTCATTAAGTTTCAGTTATAAGAGTTTTTGAAAAAATGATTGCATACATAAATTTGTAATATCATTTTCTATTCACAGAACAAAAAACATAGCCTTTCTTATGAATTATAATGAATTGTTAAAGTGTATTCATCCTCCTGAAAAACAGAGATTTGTCGCTTGGTCAAGTCATGCATAACGCGGTTCAAATAGTAGTAGTTTTAATAATCATTTCAAATCGACAATAATTCTGCATAATTATTATGCTCACTAAAAGACTTTTAGTTGGAAATTTAGTTTTTAGCTCATGCTTTCGTTATTTTTGAGGCATAATGGCGCTTAGCGGTTTTGTTGTAATCACTATGAGCTGAAGAATTTGCGTCGTCTATCGAACTCTGTGAAACCTTATCTAGTTCCACGTCTTTGGGGCTAGTGAAGAGTCGCATATCGAAAAAACTTCAGGATTCAAAGTATTCGATATACAGGAGCAATTTCTTTAGTTCATCGTGAATTCGCGAATAACTTACATTCCTAATGAAGAGGCTCGAACGGAGCAAGAGATATGAACAGTTGAAATCATTATTAGAATTGTCATTTAATTAATGGATTATTATTTGACCTACATTGGTTTGACCGACCATTTTTAAAGAATTAAACACCGTCTTATTGATACTAAATACCATTCCGGAAAGCTTCAATACCGGCAAGTTATTATAGTAATTTGTACGGGCAAAGGAGAACTGAATACGAAAACTACATTGTTTTTCAGAATAACTATTTTATTTTTTATAGGGTGTTCGCAATATTTGTGATTACTTTCACCCGATCCGCGTACAAACTACGAAAATCAATCGCACTCTCGCCGATATTTCACATTAATTTTTGTTATTTAGACCGAAAATTTCGGGTCACTTTTGAACCTACCCATTTTACGTTCTACATGTATGATTCTTTCAGCTGCAGCAAGTAAAGCAGGTACGAGGGGTAGGTCTCCAACTCTAAGAGGAGTAGATCCAAAATTAGCTCAAGCAATCCTGGACGAGATCGTTGAGGGAGGCCCGCCGGTACAGTGGGAAGATATTGTTGGACAGGATACTGCGAAACAGGCTTTACAGGTATTTAGAATAAATGGAGAGATTTTAGTATCACAATGCTATCTGACTTTATTGGTTATCATATCATTATTCCAGGAAATGGTAATACTGCCATCTTTACGACCAGAATTGTTCACTGGTTTGAGGACTCCAGCTCGTGGTTTACTTTTGTTTGGACCGCCAGGAAATGGCAAAACCTTATTAGCTAGAGCTGTTGCTACTGAATGCCAGGTAAAGATAACTATTGAACTTGTTATTGTGATCGATCCACGTAAGATTTTCGAATACACCGATAATAATCAGCCGATATACCGTTATATCAGAGGTCGATATATCGTCGTTGTCCGCATTTCGGCCGTTAGTTTTTTCCGTACACAATCGAATGCTATTAGCGACAACACACGCACAACGTATAGATGGCAGTTAAGCTTGTATATGTCTTTTGTACAACCAAATAGTAGTTATATCAAGAGGCTTCGTGGAATGACTTTATGATCCGCCAGCCAGCCCCAATCACCTTGGAAGTCATCTGCATTATAGAAGTGAAGCTGATCGAAATTTTTTTGTTATCGTCGCGTAATGATAATGATAAAAACTAGTGACATATTTCGTATTCTGATACTAAACAGAAAACTCGGCAAGTTACGTGACTAGTTTTTAGCATCTCGTCTGTTCTTGGACTATTACTGGTTTACAAATAAAAATAGCATGAACCGAGGCGATGTTGTCAAGCTGCCGTGAAGTATTTATAAAATGCTACATTTATACTAAGTAGAATGGAGTTCAGCTCTTGTCACGGTATTTGGTGGCTACGTTAAAAAGTTATACGAAATAAGAAACATATCGTCTTAAAGTCAGGCTATCTAGATAACTCGCGACCGTGTCAAACAGACCGACGACTGATTAAATAAGCAATTTGAGGTTAGAAAACTTCTGAATTTCAAGCTGACGTACTTTTATCACTAAACTGTGTAACATTATGCCGAGGGCACTAAAAGTTAAATAGCTATGTGGTATTTTACAGGCTTCTCTCGGGAAAAGTGTGATTCATAACTTTATTGAATGAAAAATGTATTTCATAGGTGGCAAATTAATGATAAATACCCCCATCTTGAATGAATGTCCGAAGGAAAGTAAATTTTAATAAAAATGCGATGAATGAATTCATTCAGAAAGGTTTATCTGTCTGGCAACACTGTATTTATTTCCGATTATATGAGAATACTCGTGTTTAGATGCCATCGGCTGTTTTGTGGACGCCATGTTTTTGGAGTAATCTCGTAAGGCCGCTACACAATGACCCGGGAATGGAAACTAGAACGTAAATGAGAACCAAAACGGGAACGAGAGGTTTCTACTGATGCACAATTAATGGGCGTGATTGACCACTGTGACAGCATTTTTGCACCTAACCTTACTTTATGCTGTGTAAGTTTGTGACAGTTCCTCGTAAACAGCACCTATTTTTTCATTTTTTGACTTTATCCGATCAAATAAAAATTGTTTTTGAGGAACAGTTTCTCATTGCGTCCTTTTCCCATTTAGGAATGTTGGTTAATACGGCGGGCTTCAATGCCCATGTACACATTCTAAGCATTCTGATTGGCTCCGAAAAGTTGAATCTTCTCCAACTCTTCCGTTCTCGTTCCCGTTTCCGTTTGTTGGAACTTTAGGTCTCTCTATTTTTATCCATCTTGCCTAACTCTCTTTATATATGTAGTCTTTTGTACTTTTGTACAGCTACACACGAAGGGCTGGTGATTACAGACATAACTATATACTTGACGAATATACTTGTACAAATATGTTTAATGCATGTCGTTTCAAACGGACGTGAGCAGTAACAATTTAAGGCCAACTGATTGACACTAACATTCTGGCTTTGATTGCTTTCGTTTTTATTAAAAAAAAATTATAAAAAATCAAAGCACCTGATGAAAACAGTGACAAACTACAGTTTTGAAATACAACAGTAGATCTGCAAAAATCTGCCGAGACCATGGAGACCATGCAAATTTACTACATATGTACATGTATGCATTTGCGTCAGCCTGAGTTCCGACTTGTACACGTGACTGTATAGAAATTCAAACATTCCTTCAAGCAAATTTGTCCAAACACTTTAATGCCTAACAAAAATTTGAGAAATAAGGAAAAGTAGCGCTGCCAGGGAATATTTCGACAAAGTTACCGATCAAGGGACCGAGTTAATCGTTAGTGCAAATTGGGACCTATTCAAAAAGCATATTTCTTCGAGGAAAAAAAGAACAAATCGACTTTGTAAAATAGCGCGTAGTACGATTGCATATAAAATGGTCAATCAGTGGCATCGGAATCATTGAATGATTGAGGTAAAACTGAAGAATCAAAATGGCTGATAAAAAGGTCATGCCTTTCTTCAATTTATTGATATTTTTTTTTATATCGAAGCAGCCGCGCAGGCGGAAGCCTAAATGCCGGAACATCGCGTCTCTTATAGATTGTTCCACATTCTCGACACCCTCTGGACAAAGGAGTGGTCGTATCGGCCAGTGCGAAAGAGTCCCGAGACTGTCTGTTAGAGAGGAGTAATCGATAATGTATGGATAATGTAAAGAGTGAGGAGGTCATGCGGAGAAAAGTACTTCTTAGCTAAACAAGTAGCCTAGCTTTTCGCCAGCAGCTGCAGCTATTGACGAAATGTGTTCGTGCCAGATCAGGTCCTCGGTGATCTGGACTCCGACCAGCCGAAATGAATGGCTCTTTGGCAGAACTCGGCCATACATCGAAACTGGATGAGCGCTAGGACGCTTTTTGTTCGTCAAAGTACAGTACTGTATTTTGGAAGCATTGAACTGTACAAGATTGTTGCATCCCCAAGCAGTGATGTCCTCCAGGTCTCTTGTCAGAGAGGAAGTCGTCTCTAGTGTTCTTTTTTCCAGCTCAGCGACAGAGATCGACTTGTCACTCTGGATTCCTGCATGTAGAGTGCTATCATCAGCGAATCTGTAGATTGAGTTGATCGTGCAGGAAAGGAGGTCGTTGATACGTAAGAGAAACAGTGTCGGAGCCAATACTGATCCCTGGGGAACACCCTCGTTGACGTTGTGGGACGAAGAGGAGAACCCGTCAATTACGACGGATATCTTGCGGCCAGAGATAAAGTCAGCCACCCATCTGCAAACCTTTTCTGGGAGTCCATAGGATGGAAGTTTGCTTTAGAGGGCAGCGTGCCACAGCTGATCGAACGCTTTCGTGATGTCAAGAGCAACGACATGAGCCTCACCATAAGACTGGATGAGTTTACTCCACAATTGCGTGACGTAAGCTAGGAGGTCCCCTGTGGATCGTTGGTGCCGGAAACCATACTGCGTGTCGCTAATCAAGCTGTGACGTTCGAGGTAGTCCAGAAGCTCGCGATTTATGCACATCTCCATCATCTTACTTATAACAGAAATCAGAGCTATAGGCCTGTGGTTGTCAGAGTCGGTCTTAGATACCTTTTTTGTAATGGGTTCTCTCGCATATTGTAGGGAATCCTTTGAATTGACGGCACTTGGGCGTTGGGGGGACGTCCATGGTGGAGTTTTCAGCTAAGATCTTGACTAGCACTTCCGCCTTGGCCTTTGAGTCGAATACAATCCTTCCATCCTGACATGGAAGTGGTGGAAGGCTACTGTGTGAAAAATTCTTTTCAATCTGCTTGGCCAGCGTCCAGAAAGACCGACTGCCATTGCGCTGCGACATTACCCTGTGCCTAACTTATATATCGTGCTGGTTTTTGGCATTGCAAACCGCTTCGTTCTATTTGATTCTGGACTCGAGGTCGGCTTGTCTATTCTCTACAGTGGGGTTTTGTAAGAAGATTCTGTGTGTCTTGATCTTCTGCTGGCGAGCAGTGTCACACGATTTGTTAAACCAGCCGTTGGATCCTGGTTTAGGCACTTTCACTGTGTGAGGGATGTATTGCTCCATTCCGACGTAGATAATTTCGGTTATCAAAGATCAGACAGTCTACGCATCCGCGTCAGTGAAACAGACATCTCTCCAAGGAAAGCTAGAGAAGAAGCCCCTACCAGTCGGTATGTCCGTAATGCCAAGTTTTGCGGCCTGTACGAGTTTCTGCTACCACAGCGGGTTCTGACCGAAACCTATCCTCCACAACACCATGGTCTGAGTTACCCAGGGGGGACAGGGCAGCAGTGCTGTAAGGGAGAGGATGCATGGTCAGAAAGAGATCCAGTAGGCTCCTGGAGTGTGACGAGACGCGGGGAAAAAGTAGGGCTCGTCACCAGCTGGGTCAGCCCTTGAGTAAGAGCGAACGCTTCGACTGCACGACCTGCTGCATCGGTCTTGTTTGAGCCCAACCAAAGCTCATTATGGGCATTGAAATCACCGAGAAGAACTACCTCTGAAGCGGGGTGATTGATGTTCAGGAAGTCGATCTTGACGGCGAGGTATTCAAGTAGGTCATCCCAGTTATGGTCCGAGGGAGAGCGATAAAGGCAGCAGGTCGTGTTTGGAGTTGAGGCGAAGCCACAGAATGTCATTCCGGTCTGATTCCAAAGAAACATCTCTGGAGCAGGAAAGACTGCTGCGGATAGAAGCCAGAACTCCCCCGTTCTTTCTCAGTTTGGAGTGCACCTCGTAATTTGGGAAGTCAAGATGGTTAATCGGTGCAGACTCTGAGATTTTTGTCTCCATCAAGAAAAACATGGCGGTACGATTGGATTGCAGGTAGTGATGAACAGCACCAATGTTGCTGTTAATTCCGCAGATGTTCGTAAAACAAATTTTATCTTTGATGTTGTTCTCTCAAGCTCACCCTCCACCCGGACATTCCGAGAATGGAGTGAGTTTACGTCCGGAGTTCTTAGTGCTCGAGGGATCCATCATCATTAATTTCCTTGTTTTGGAAGATAACCGACTGCATAGCTTAGGTGTGGACTGGTCCTTGTCTACCACTTTCTTTTAACGTGTTAGTGATATTAAATAGACCTAAAGTGGCTTGTTGACGGACTTGTACCGCCACCCGGCAATCGGTACTGAGGTATTCGTTAACGCGTGTACAATCACTTGAACGGGAAGAAATCGTATACTGGATATAACAACTTCAGGAACAAGCATTTGCCACAGCCCCGCTCAGTAAGGTAAAGAGTGTTTTTCGCTCTGCAGTGTATCGGTCGTTCTATATCAGCATATGGGCATTAATATTGGACGGTTTATTTATTAGCAAATGTGGGCGATTTGGCAACATACATAAACATAAAAACAAAAGTATTCTCGGATATTCCTATCCTATAAATACTCTCGTTGAAAAATGGCATCAAATAGGTTGAACTTGCACTTCCCACGTAACTCCGTTATCAGTTCGCAAAGGATTATGTTAAGCACACACTAGATCCTCTGAGAAAAAGTCAGTCAAATAGGTCCATACAATTAGTCCATAAACATTCTTTCCCTGCGCTACCGGCACGGGTATTACGTATCTTGAAAAGTGATTATGTCGATTTTTTTAACATTATATTGGTTTTTTGAGACTATGTAAGTCTTTCTACAAGATGTTAACTTAGCACTAGCTGATGGTCACGTTGTGAACCCGTTTTGTAGTTGTACGTGTTGCCTAAACGTCATGAGGCTTCAGTTATCAATGTTTGGCTCTGATGTGTTGTACAATCTGCTTCAGAGGTGGCATTACTGGAGGTAACGGCAATGCATAGGAGCATAGTGAGGATTTGTGTGTTAATAATTCTTGTTTCAAATACACTTACTTGAGATTCAAAGCTAGAAATTAGTTGCTCATTCACTTTTTCTTATCCGTTCAGGAAATTACATATGCATATTTGTTGAATTTCAAAAACGTGATAAAGAATAATGATATTCACAAGTCATATATATGCTAACAGTAATTAAACACTACGTGGGCACGGTGGTGATTTCTCGTAATTCTCCTCAAAGTTTTTGAAAACACAAAAAAAATCGTAATTTATAAGTTTGAACATAACCTGTCTTCAGAAATAAATATATATAAATACCCGTCGGGCACAGCTAATAGATATACTTCATTTGCAGCATATTTAGTAATGATTTTCTCATACAGCAAATCTCACTGATTTTATACACATGCAGACTAATACACATAATCATCCAGATGCGATCTTGCTATTCAACCAACTTTCTTCTTAGAGATGAAATCTACAGACTACTCGGCTTCACAAAACATATGCAACCAACAATGCGTGTAGTTGAGTCATTCCTCCATAGATGGACGCTTACGACGATCCTAGTGAGCAAACGTGGAATGACTGCTTGCACCCTAAAAACTACCTAGTCTGCAAATTGATATTTTATTGTTTTTTTGACGTTTTATTTTTTACATTTACCCGTGACAACTTCTTCTCTCCCCGATACATAACCCGTCAGACGTGACAGCGCGGCCACAGCATAGAAAGCACTATGCTGTGGTGCGGCAATAATACGTGTAATATCACTTAACAAGGTCGGCGACACGCCGCCGAGAGCAGATGCAAATGCGGCCGGTAGGTACGCGATCCGTAGGTGCGGAGAATTACCAAGGTTGGGAGCGTATAAATATACTACATAAAAAAAATTACTCCCACCCCCAAATTTTTAATATAAAATTGTTTTTTTTCAAAAATGATTAGGAACTTCTAAAACGTCAAAAATCGAATTTTGAGCGATTTTTATTTTGTTTTCCTTTTTGGTCCATTTCTCCGCTGCCACTAGACCGATTTTCAGAAACTACAAAGCCTGTTCGTCCTTGGCATTGTATTAACATTGTGTAAAAATTTTATCAAAATCCGAGCGGTTCCTCTCAAGGTCAGACAGACCGACAGAAAGACATAAGGAAATGAGTGACATGGTTTTGCGTGATGTACATTTAATATAACATGCAAAAAAATATCTCTTTCGGAAATTTTCGCGATTATGGTACTTCCCGGCCAGTAGGATTGCCTTGATTTATTGTAATTTGGGAAAGTGTATGTATTGAGTTTAGGCGTCCAAGAAAAACTGGACGGAGAATTCGATAGATAGATAAATATGCTTCATTGTCTGAAGAATATAATCAGTCTTAATGACAGACCTAACTTAAAATTAAGCTATATCATATACATTTGTGGATCTTGAGTCAATGAATTGGAGAACTCAAACATGATATAATATTAAGAAGTTTTTATGTTCATGGCGGAATATTCTGAACTATTTGATATTATTTTTTCCTCATTATTTACTGACAGCCGGGTCCATGCCGTCCAGTTTTTAGCCCTTGATGTTCTCTTCCAGGCAACCTTCTTTTCGATAAGCGCAGCTAGTTTAACATCAAAATACGTTGGAGACGGAGAGAAAATGGTTCGCGCGCTGTTCGCCATTGCAAGAGAGCTGCAGCCTAGCATAATATTTATAGATGAGGTGGATTCATTGCTTTCTGAACGGTCGAACAGCGAACATGAAGCTAGCAGAAGGTTAAAAACAGAATTTCTAGTTGAATTCGATGGATTGCCCAGTAATCCGGAGAGCGAGAAGATTTTAGTGATGGCAGCCACGAATCGGCCCCAAGAACTGGATGAGGCTGCTTTAAGGAGGTACGTATCGAACATATTTAGGTTATCTGTATTAGGATTTTTTTATACTCCAACCACCACGAAGGCCTAAACACCCAGGGGTACCTTGGGGCTTTAGGGGTACACAGGGGAAAGGGGGAGGGACGCCACACAAACTCTAGCGAGGGAACACTTGTGCATGCAACATGCACACATCCTGGCCCCGCCTTAGAGATCCGCCGGGTGGTACCTCCGCGTTCGACAGTGGAAGACCGTCTACCATCTACGGCCAATTACAACATCCATAGCCAAGAGAAAAATTCACTTGGGACGGGATTCGAACCCGCGCTGCTGCCTAAACGAGGCCTAAATTCCGGGTTGCAACGGATATACAGTTACTACCCGGTATCCGCCAAAAACAGGATAGTGATAAGACAAAAACCGCAAAATATACGAAACTTATTATTATTGCTGCAATCAGCCTTCAGTCAGTAAAATTAAACAGTCAGTGTGTCTTAGCTAACAGTGCATCAAAGTTAAAGTAGAATGACAAAATGTTTTTTTGTGTTAAAAAACTAAACTAATAAAGGTTTGAAATCAAAGTAAATCACAGAGTAAATATACAAGCCCCTTCCCACTTCAGTTGGCCCACTTCAAGATTTGTACCAAAATATGCCTTTATAAACTAAAAAGACGAAACTATTTACTTCTAAAACAATTTATTTTCTCAAAAACATTTTAGATACTCTAGTCGTAAAAAATACATATTTGAAATCACTTAGACCTATAACTAATAGAACATCTGAACAAATAAACAATGTGCGAATAAATGCGCGAAGTTAACAAAGCAACAATTGAAAGATTACCATTGGGTAACATCACCTTTATTTTTTATTACGGCTGAAATGCTTTGGGGCATAGTGTTAACCAAGTTTTGGCAAAAATTTGGTGTAAATCAATCCCATATTTCTTGAAGTTTTTGTCTCAGTTCGGTGATTGTACGAGCAGGATGTTGTCGTAGAACCTTTTTCATCTCGTGCCACAAAGTTTCAATAGGTGACAGATCTGGACTGTTAGAAACGTATTTCAAAAGTGGTACATTATTTTCTTCCATCCATTTTATAGCCTTTTTTGAGGTATGGCACGCTGCGTCATCTTGCTGAAACACAAAATCTTGGCCGGATGTTAAACATTCTTCCATCAGTGGTAAAAGCAATTTTTCTAAAATTGCCAAATATTTGTTTGTATCCACATTTCCTAAAATGAAGTTTTCCTACTCCTTTTGATGACATACTGCCCCAGACCATAATGGATGCTGGAAATTTCACTTTTCTCTTCAGACAGTCAACATGGAATGCTTCATTTTTTTGCGAATAACTCTACTGCGACTGTCACCAACACAAACTTCGAATCGGGCCTCATCACTCCATTGTATTGCACACCATTGTTGAGGTGTCCATTGTCTATGTTCTTTAGCCCATCTAAGCCGATTTTTCTTTTGCAGTGGAGTTAATAGTGGCTTTTCTTTGGCCTATAAACAAGTTGTGCAACTTTAGGGTTTTTACTTCACTTTTTTTATGAGAAAACTTACCTTGCAAGTGCTAAATGCCAGTTTGTGGGTCTCTCTATGAGTTGTGGACCTCGAAATTCTCCTTCCAACAGCGTCACTCCTCAGAGTACTTAATTGTAAATAATTGGGACGCCTGTTTTTCACGATTATTCTTCTTAATGTTCTTAGATCGGCATTTGTGATATTACTTTTTTTCACAAATCGTGGCTTAATGAACCAGTTACGTTATATCTTCTAACAATATTTCTCACACTGTACTGTGATAAGTCTAACAAAGTTGCAATTTCTGAGTTTGATTTCCCAGAATTAAAAAATTTAATTATCAGTAACCGAATTTTCTCACTAATAACCTTTCCTCTACCCATTTTGAAAACCTTAACTATCCAAAACTATTTTAAACGTATTCTGACAGCTGTCTGGCTTTTATTTTTCACAGCCACCTATGTGTTATAGACTTATTTTGCATTGAAATGAAAATAGGTTGATATGGTGTAATTGCAACATGTGTTATTTTTATGCTGCAAATTTGATTAGGCACTGATAAAGTTGGTGTTTTCTACTATATATTATCAAAATATTCATTGTTAATATTTTAAACCTATAACATCCTGCTACATTTTTATTATTTGTGTTTGATAAAAAAAACTAATATTTCAATAGTTGGGCCAACTGAAGTGGGAAGGGGCTCGTATGTCCTATTTCAAGTAGCATTTTTCTTTTTCTAGTATAACAATCTTAAAAAGAAAATCCACCATTATCATGAATCAGTAAATAATCGGCAAACCGTTTATGAATGTGAATTTTCCTGTTCGCTGGCTAAAGCCGTTTTCGCTGCTCCTTAAATATACCGGCTTTAGAAGACAATCTCCCACTACACGCTACTACAGGGAAACGGGAAATACTATACTTTAACAGAATCTTGGCAAAATTACTTATTAGGCATGTTCTGGCATCGAATTTCTGACGGTTGTGGGCAGTTGGAAACAGTTAACCAATTCAGTTTGACGCATGGATTTGAGTGCCACTCAATTTCGAATATATCAATCGAATCCAAAATCTGTTTTGCTATAGGTGTATGAATGTGAAACCTGGAAGGTGACAAAAAATCTCATCGCTAAGCTTCGCATCTTTAATGACAAGCGCGTACCAAGAATCCTTTGTACTTTCTGGCCTGATATCATAAGAAACGAAAATCTGTTTCACTTGACTGAACAAAAGAGGATAAAGATAGAAATTAGGTCTAGAAACTGGGGCTGGATTGGTCACACACTTCGGAAAAATAACATCTGCAATAAATTGTAATCCCCAGGGAAAAAATGCGTCAATTAAGTTGACTCGCTACTTGCCACGCTACGCTACCGTCGGTTCGTAAAGGATTATGTTTGGCACAAGTTAGCCCTTCCGAGAAAAAAGTTAGCCACGGACATGTATAACAAAAATTAAATGACCTTCCTCCTCTGAGAGGAATTGCTGCAGATGCACATGATCGTTGCGATGACCAGTCCCGCGTGAATGAAGATATTGGCCTTCACCATGCACAAAACACGCAGCCCTCAGTAGTGTGGAAGCGTTTGCTGACTGTGGCTTACGACCACCGACGAAGACGTTATTTATTTATTTCGTTTTTGACCTTTTTCTCCGCCGCCACTGGACCGATTTTCAGAAACTACAAACCTTTTTCATCCTTAGTAACATTGTGTAAAAATCCGAGCGGTACCTATTAAGGATTAACGGACAGACAGACGGAAGTGAGTGACATGTTTTTTTCGTAATGACATGTACATAAAACGTCCAAAAAACATATCTCATTTTAGAAAATTTTAGAATTACTGGAATTGGAGGCGTATAAACATTTCAACGTCAAAAATTGAGATATACCCTTCCCCACTTCCTACAACCTCAAACCCCCAATGTTTAAGCCAAACAAAAAATTTTCCGAAAATGATCCGGATTGTCTGAAACGTAAAAAAAGTTAGGGTGATTTTCTTTTTTTTTTGTTTTGGCCTTTTTCTCCACCGCCACTGGATCGATTTTAAAAAACTACAAAGCTTTTGCGTCCTTGGCATAGTAGTAACATTGTGTAAAAATAAGTTATAGGCCGTTATAAGACTAACGAACAGATCGAAGGGAACGAGTGACATGGTTTTTCTTGATGTGCATCATATATGTGGCTGAAGAACCGATCGATCGAGCGCGATCGAAAACATTATAAAGACAGCAGTGCACAAAATTTGTCATTTCAACATACAACCACGTCTTTTGGCTTTAAATGTGCGTAAATCAATGCGGTTTTCATGCAATATCGTTTATTTTATGTGTTTTTATGTGTCATTGAAGTCTAGCCCCCCTTCCCCAAAAACATCCCCAAAGTTGTGAGTAACGCGAAAAAGTTATTATTTCGTGAAAATTATAATGAAAAAATGCGGTTTTTGCGTTAATCGCATAAGACAAACATACCTCAAGTGCCCTTGAGTGGACATGGCATTAACTCGTGGTTTACCTCCAAATGATATATAGATATAAAAAATTACTATGTTGAATCAGATCGGAAACCCGTAATTATTGAAAATCACCTTACGCCCAAAATTTTTTCGCGGATATCTGGTCAACTTAACGTGTCCTAACAGCCCATGATAGTCGTTTGCTCGAGCGGGGTCCGGAACATACTTTTTCAGAGTTAGGGTGGGTTTATATGGCGTCCTCACTAAAATAAATATATTTAAAAAAAATTGGCTCACGCCCAAAAATTTTTTGTGCGAATCGTGTTTATTTAACATGTTCTAACATCCCACCAAGCCGTTTCCCCCAGGAGGGTCCAGAACACCCCCATCCGCACTTCGATCAGAATTCGAAAAAACACCTGTCATTTTTCAAAATCGCTTTACGCCCAAAATTTTTTCACTGATATCCGGTCAACTTAACGTCTTCTAATAGCCCATGATAGTCGATCGCTCGAGCGGGGTCCGGAACATACTTTTTCAGAGTTAGGGTGGGTTTATATGGAGTCCTCACTAAAAAAAATATATTTCAAAAAAATTGGCTTACGCCCAAAATTTTTTTGTGCGAATCGTGTTTATTTAACATGTTCTAACATCCCACCAAGCCGTTTCCCCCAGGGGGGTCCGGAACACCCCCATCCGCACTTCGATCAGAATTCGATCAAACACCTGTCATTTTTCAAAGTCGCTTTACGCCCAAAATTTTTTCACTGATATCCGGTCAACTTAACGTGTTCTAATAGCTCATGATCACCTCAGGCGGATGTGAATGTTATTGAATAAACTATACAATATTGGTTTTGTGTATTTGTAATACAGAATGTAACAATATAGTAAAATAAAAGCGATTTTAATAAGTGTATCCGTGTAAGTCGCAGAATGTACACTTAATCAATATTGAACAGGTATTGATTACTTTGAGATGAAATTATCAGTTTCTTTACATGACCTTATCATTAGCTGAGAGAACCTCATTAGTATGATTATTTTTCAAATCCGTGTATACATATGTTTGTCGACAACCGGGACCAGGTCGCCGATTTAGAATCCCACATCAAAATCTAATACTAATGTAATCACTGTGTTTCCCCAGCAAAGGTACCGGATGCAGGTAGTACTATAAATACGTGCCGTTGGGCTGTTTGCAAGGAATGTCGGGGTAATATAGACAATTGTAACGGAATTTTATGTAATCCTCAGGTTGTAAGCAAAAAGGGTACGTACAGGTATAGGTTGTAAAACAAGGATACGTATAGGTAAATTTTTATTGGTATAATTTAGTTGTGTTTGTGTCGTTGGGCATCTCGGGTTACAGTATTTCTTCAAAATACTGCAATGTCTGCAAACGAATTTGGCGAAAAAGTGAGTGTTGCACGTGTGATATGTGATATCGTGAAGTTGGTGAATGAAGTGAACTAGTGCCTAGGCATATCAAAAATTTCATGTGCGAGCATGGTGGCTATTAACGGTTATATTTAATCGAAAACAACAAAAGGTAAGCAGTACCCGGCCGAAATCGACAATTTCACTATTCTATCAACTGAAATAAAAAATGACAGGGAGATCGTTAAAACATGCGTTTTTTGGCATTATATTCTTTTAGGCGCAATCGGAACAATAATTGTGCTATATATGCCAAATGTACTCGACCGGGCGACTCTCAGTATTTCAAATTTATATAAACCCACCCTAACTCTGAAAAAGTGTGTTCCGGACCCCGCTCAAGCGATCGACTATCATGGGCTGTTAGAACACGTTAAGTTGACCGGATATCAGTGAAAAAATTTTGGGCGTAAAGCGATTTTGAAAAATGACAGGTGTTTGATCGAATTCTGATCGAAGTGCGGATGGGGGTGTTCCGGACCCCCCTGGGGGAAACGGCTTGGTGGGATGTTAGAACATGTTAAATAAACACGATTCGCACAAAAAAATTTTGGGCGTAAGCCAATTTTTTTGAAATATAATTTTTTTGCGCGAACGCCATGTAAACCCACCATAACTCTGAAAAAGTATGTTCCGGACCCCGCTCGAGCGATCGACTATCATGGGCTATTAGAACACGTTAAGTTGACCGGATATCAGTGAAAAAATTTTGGGCGTAAAGCGATTTTGAAAAATGACAGGTGTTTTTTCGAATTCTGATCGAAGTGCGGATGGGGGTGTTCCGGACCCCCCTGGGGGAAACGGCTTGGTGAGATGTTAGAAAATGTTAAATAAACACGATTCGCACAAAAAAAATTTGGGCGTAAGCCAATTTTTTTGAAATACATTTTTTTTAGTGAGGACGCCATATAAACCCACCCTAACTCTGAAAAAGTATGTTCCGGACCCCGCTCGAGCGATCGACTATGATGGGCTGTTAGAACACGTTAAGTTGACCGGATATCAGTGAAAAAATTTTGGGCGTAAAACGATTTTGAAAAATGACAGGTGTTTTTTCGAATTCTGATCGAAGTGCGGATGGGGGTGTTCCGGACCCCCCTGGGGGAAACGGCTTGGTGGGATGTTAGAACATGTTAAATAAACACGATTCGCACAAAAAAATTTTGGGCGTAAGCAATTTTTTTGAAACATAATTTTTTTACCGCGAACGCCATGTAAACCCACCCCAATCCTAAAACAGTATGTTCTGGATCCCGCTCGAGCGATCGACTATCATGGGCTATTAGAACATGTTGAGTTGACCGGATATCAGTGAAAAAAATTTGGGCGTAAAGCGATTTTGAAAAATGAGAGGTGTTTTTTCGAATTCTGATCGAAGTGCGGATGGGGGTGTTCCGGACCCCCCTGGGGGAAACGGCTTGGTGGGATGTTAGAACATGTTAAAGAAACACGATTCGCACAAAAAAATTTTGGGCGTAAGCCAATTTTTTTTTGAAATATAATTTTTTTAGCGCGAACGCCATGTAAACTCACCCTAACTCTGAAAAAGTATGTTCCGGACCCCGCTCGAGTGATCGACTATCATGGGCTATTAGAACACGTTAAGTTGACCGGATATCAGTGAAAAAATTTTGGGCGTAAAGCGATTTTGAAAAATGACAGGTGTTTTTTCGAATTCTGATCGAAGTGCGGATGGGGGTGTTCCGGACCCCCCTGGGGGAAACGGCTTGGTGGGATGTTAGAACATGTTAAATAAACACGATTCGCACAAAAAAAATTTGGGCGTAAGCCAATTTTTTTGAAATATAATTTTTTTAGCGCGAACGGCATGTAAACCCACCCTAACCCTGAAAAAGTATGTTCCGGACCCCGCTCGAGCAAACGACTATCATGGGCTGTTAGGACACGTTAAGTTGACCAGATATCCGCGAAAAAAGTTTGGGCGTAAGGTGATTTTCAACAATTACGGGTTTCCGATCTGATTCAACATAGTAATTTTTTATATCTATATATTTTTTTGGAGGTAAACCACGAGTTAATGTCATGTCCACTCAAGGGCACTTGAGGTATGTTTGTCTTATGCGATTAACGCAAAAACCGCATTTTTTCATTATAATTTTCACGAAATAATAACTTTTTCGCGTTACTCACAACTTTGGGGATGTTTTTGGGGCAGGGGGGCTAGACTTCAATGACACATAAAAACACATAAAATAAACGATATTGCATGAAAACCGCATTGATTTACGCACATTTAAAGCCAAAAGACGTGGTTGTATGTTGAAACGACAAATTTTGTGCACTGCTGCCTTTATAACGTTTTCGATCGCGCTCGATCGATCGGTTCTTCAGCCACATCATCATATAACATCCATAAAATATAATATCTCATTTTTGAAAGTGTCCGCGATTACAATACTTCTCCGCCAGTAGGCATGGGAAGTAAAAGGAAGAGAGGACGGCCAGCTCAAACTTGGTGAAGATCAATTACGGATGTGCTAAGAAGTTATGGCCAAACGTGGAACCATGTGAAGTCTCTGGCGCAAAATTGAATTCGATGGCCACTTAGGAAATTAATAACCTGATATATATTTTTGACAATTCGTTCGGTCAACTGAATTTGACGGTTGCAGACCATTTGAAAATCGTTACTAGAACAGGATATTGCTTACAATTGATTTTCCACTATGCATATGGATGGCTACTTTTCTTAATTCAAGACATTTCCGGATAAATGTCAAGTCCTCCAGCCATAGTATTTTTTGAAGAAATTTTCATGGTATAAGGTATTTGCTTCCATCACCTCGTTGAAAGAGTTCAAAAAACTTTTGTGAGTTTCTCGTTAGGGGCATACCTTCCCTACTGCTGGAAAAACTTCACTATAAGAAAAAATGCATCTACGAGCCTTTTAGATCGGACGTTCATGCTGTGTTCCCAAATTGTCAGAAAATATTCAGATAAAGTAACACATACATATATGTACCTATTATTCGTGTATATTCCCCAATTCCATTTTCCCAAAATATGATAATCACTATTAAAATATTTTACTTTAGCTTCTACGGATACTATTTACCTATGGTATCCATTGGTAAATGTGAAAAATGTCTTTTGTGATTGCTCTTATCGATACATTGATAAATGTGCAGATAATGGCTAATAAATTCATCCAAAAAATAATTATATCCGGCAATAGCGGATTTATCTCTTGCCAAACAACAACACATATCTATGGTATTTTTCACGAGTCTCCATTACATCTTGGCGTCTACTGAGGTGAACAGCTGATTAGCAAGTGACAGCTTTGTGTTGGCGTCTGTAGTGTTGGCAATAATAAATCAAGTGTGAATCTGGTAAAACTCAAGACCGTATTCAGAACTTTTCATAACAAACGTAGTGAAAAACTGTTTACCCAGCGTTTTTTCTTGTGTGCAAAGGAACTTTTATAAATAACAACGTAGTTAAGAGGTATATATCCGTAGCGCACAAAAGACCACAAAAAAACACAATTCTGTTTACAAATTAGTCAGGATTGTGTGTCACTTGTCGATTTGGGCTATTTTGAAATGTTACTATATAATCAACTGTTATTATCTGTCACATTTGACCTAATGGAGACTCGTGAAGGAGACTGAGGCGAGGCTCGTAGGTTATTGAGGTTAGGACATTTTGAACTGACAAATTTCTTTTGATACCACACTAAATCGTGCAATCTCACGCGTAGAACCTTAAAGGCTTATTATTAGCTAGGTGACAACTCACAGGTTTCACATATTAACGTCACGAAATCAGAAGTTATTCCTTTAAGTTCGCATCTAGCTAACCATAACTTTTAGGGCTATATACGCGAGAGATTACCCGATTCAGTTTAGTATCAAAAGAAACTTGTTCATTTATTTGTTATTAGCTTGAAATTAAATTTGTTCCTAACCTCATTACCATGCGAACTTCGCCTTAAACGCCTTTTGTCTCTCCAAATTGCTTTGTACTAGTCTATCAGTTTAATTTTATTCTCCTGTCTGTCTTTTGTGTATACCTCTTCTTTGTACGATAGTGTCATTGTTATTTTGAATCATGACTACATTTTGTTTTCCATTAGGTTTCCTAAAAGAGTTTACGTTCAACTTCCGGATGTTGACACCCGGTCGAAGCTGCTAGAAAAATTACTGGCAAAACAGGGTTGTGCTTTAACTAGACAGGAATTGAAAAGACTAGCTGCTTTGACAGAAGGATATTCCGGAAGCGATTTGACTGCTCTAGCAAAAGACGCTGCTTTAGGGCCCATCAGAGGTAAGATTTTGTAGATCTGTTTGTAGTTTTTTATCCCAAAAATTTTGATTAGACAAAGTCATAGTCTTGCAACAATTGAAATATTTTTTCGAATTCTACTACCCTCTGTAAGGTGCATTGGAACTCAAATTATACAATGTTTCGAGCCATTAAGACAGCTGTCCAATTCAGAAAACTTGTCAGATCTGCCATGAAAGAAATTCTCAAAGATATATTGTCTTTAAAGAAGGCCGCAGGTCAGTTTGAAACTGACAACTCTCCAATCATACAAAGTTAGAAATTAAACTCTAATGTGAAAAGAAGCGAAGTTCATTTGAGTTGTATCGGGGCAGATATAGTAAATAACTTTCTACCTAAAGAAAATATTTATGTTTACAGAGAGAATTGTTCGGTTTTTTAGAAGAATGTAATTGTAGCAATCATGCTAAATAAATCTTAAGCAAACAAACAAACTCATATATGTTATAAAGACTCTATAATAGTATACATCTAGGCAAAAGATCAGGGGACTATGGGGTGATTATGTGCCTATAAGTGTCCATTGCACTAAACTGAAAAAAATGCGCAGAACCCAAACGTTGAATTGTTCCAACAAAAAGTCCTATATGTTGTGGAGACTCTATAGTATTACAGTTCCTGTAAACTTAAGTACTTTTATGGGGGCCTCTAGCATACATACAAGATTGTTGGCAGCACAATTCTTCGTTTAGTCTCTGCATTTTTTACGATTTCGAGTAGCAAACCTTTATAGGCACAGCTATACCCTAGATACGTATAGTATATCCACTGAATCAAAGCAGTTATGGCACAACGTCAAATAATGACAGTGACGCACATGGTTGTCACATTAATTAAAACTACTTGATCCTAAGACGTTTTACAAAATCTACTTTGTCTTCGATGCCTTACCGCAACCAACATTACATGTTTTGTAAACGCTAGAGCTAGTGACCGCAACCAACATTACAGTACCGTGCTTATTAGTGACTAGTAGAAATTAGCTTAGTTTTGGAAACTAGTATCAAAAATAGGCTACAGGGAAATGAATACCACATTTTAAAATAGCTACTTGAAAGTTTTACTACCCACTCAAACCATATTTTAACTTAATTACAATTTTATAATTTAAATATCAAAATATTCTAAAACAGCTATAAGAAAAATGAACATTGAAATGAAGTTTGGTCAAGGTATTATACAAAATTCTCAGAATACTTACGTATAAATAATAGTGGCAAGATATATTTTATTTGAAAAAAGTTCTAGTCACTAGGACTCTCGGAATTGCTATCACTATTTCCTCATTCCCATTTATAATAATTGGTAAAATGTCAGCTTGTTCTAGATATTTTTCTTTTTCCCACCACCTCTGAATTTCGTTTTCAGTATGTGATATACATTTTGACGAAATTTCGACTGTAACATTTTGTAAAGCTTCTCGCTATAAATTAATACAGTGCTCTACAGTTCTGCCATCTCGACCCACATGTTTGTTGTAGTAGGACTTTGTTATGCTCCAAATACAGGGTGTTTCAGAACTAAGGGATCAAACTTCTAGGGGTTATTCAGTGTAACAGTAGAAAACATTTGAGTATAGGGACCCAAATCCGGAAAAGTGTCACTACGGCACTACGACCCTAAGACGCGTTAAAATTTAGAAAGACGATGAATTGCCTAAATAGGATTTAATTTTTGACTTTTGTACATGATATCATCACAACAATTGTTCAAAATGTCTTCCTCCAACCTGACCGAAAATAAACAACAAATAAACATCAGCCGTTGACGTAATTACCTGACAAGCTTTGCGACAATGTCACAACCCAAAAAACTGTTACAAACATAAATGTACTCGGGAAATTAAAACTATACGTACCAATTCAGGATCTATTTTGCACTAAGGTTGGCATTCAAATGTACTAAATATGATGTAACTGCTTTGTTTCAGCGACTGGACTATACTACTATAGGGCCTTTACAACATATGTGACTTTGTTGGACTAACACTTGACCTTGCATGAAGCTCAAACAGTTGATCGCTGCGTGCTCACCGCCAACAAAAGTTGATAATTATCATATTATCTACAATATTCATAATAAATGCAAATAGCATTAAGCTCATAGAAAGCGATATCTTTGCACAAAAGCGATGTTTGACCTTTGGTATCTTAATATGCGATCACCAGATCTTATGAGACTTTTACCGCATCTTTTATAAAGGTTTCTACAAGCTTACTGCTTATTCTCTCATTTCGAGTTTAGCCCTCCTATATGACTTATATAATTGCATTATTATTGGAAGATTGTTCAATACACGTGCCTTTTCATATGTGTTCGAATTGGATCTTTAATTTTGAGGTATGTATTTGAGTCTGTATGTAAAATTTACAATAAGTTCATTTTTATAGAACTACAACCAGAACAAGTGAAGCAGATGGACCCTAGTTCCGTAAGAAGTATCACAATTAACGACTTTTTAGAGTCGTTGAAACGAATCCGAAGGAGTGTTTCGCCTCAGAGTCTAGTTGGTTATGAAAAATGGTCGCTACAATATGGAGACGTGTCTCTCTAAAGATATGTCATTTTTATCTGTTGCCTTTGGAATATGGTCAACAATTTTATCGTTCTAAAGTTACCTTTCTAAAGGGCCAAAAAAGAATCTAAATTTCACGAGTACTTCTAAAAGTACTAAAATCATTCGAAATATTTTGGCCCAAGTCTGATGAAAAAGTATAAATTAAATTTTATTCTTTGTTTTAAAATTTTTTTATTCAATTATTGTTCGTTTTTATGTGATAATTAAAAGAGAATATTATCGTGATAGCCACTTGAATGTTAGAGAACATAAAAGTGATACACTTTGTTCTAGTAACATCATTATATAGATCTGTAATTGATTGCCACATGGTGCGAGATTTAATAGTTTGTATTTCTTTTTTTCACGTGCTGCGTACTCATATATTTAACATTCCTATGTTCCTCTAAATGACATAATGGTTGTTGCAACTTGTTTTTCGTTATATTTTTTGTAGCTGTGATATAAAGTTATTTATTTTTTTCTGCAAGGGTATCACTTTGAGTACAATAAACAATTTTGCAAAGTAGTTTTATATTTGCATACAATTATTTGAATCAGTATCTGTTGCTTAATAGTTGGTTTAGTCACACAACACTTCTAAACTAAGGTGATTCGAATAATTTTACAGTGTTAGTGAGGGGCCAGTATGGTTAACTTTTCAATGATAACAAACAAGAATTTGTTACAAAGGATATATCACCACCAGGAAGATAGAGGAGCGCAGGGTAATGGGAGCCTATTAAGAGAAAACTTTCATAAAAACTACATTTATCAACCTTCTTATAATTTTTAATTAGGAACCCTGAGAATAATCATACAGGTCTGTTTTAATCACTGTTAGTATTAATTACAGTCATATAAAAAAGTCAGTCGCCCATTTCACGCTCATATGGGAAATGGGAGTCATAATATTTAGTATTGCGCAAAAGTTAAACTAAACATGTCTACTTTAAATGGGATCTTAGTTAGTTACTACAAACTATTAATTGTAACAAAAATAAAAAAACTACTTTTTAAACAAAGACAAGAAAAATAAAGATGAACTTATTAAAGAAGAACATATGACCCAAAATTATAATTGTTCTTCAACAACCAATCCCAAAATTAATTTTAGGATCAATTTAAAATTGCCGAATACCAACTAGCAATGCCAAGGCACCCCTCAAATTGATGCACTTCTTATTTCTTTGCTCTCCCTCCTTCCTTCCTTCCTTTCTTCTTCCCTTCTTTCTCCCTGACTTTGTTTGGTATTTGGGCAACCAGACCTGACAGACTTACTGACTTACAGGACTTCAACCAAGAGCAAAGGTCCTACGGACCGCTCTGACAGACAATGACGAATAGTAACATATGACCCAGATTATGCAGATCCAAACAAAAGGTACAAATATAAGAAGCTGGACTATCACTTCCAGAACATGCATCATGGGCCCAGTTTCCGTAACTTCTGCATCTCCCCACTTTTTCCCGTGTCTAAACAAATAGCACATAAAGTTTCCTCTTCTGAGTATTCTGACTCGTCGCACTAAGGAGCATTTAAGCTTGAAAACCGGTCAAAAATCGTTTATGCGTTCTTTATCATTAAACATGAATAAAAATGCATGTGTAGTTAAAAAAAAAGGAATATATTCATTAAAATTAGTAAAAAAGGCAAAAATATTAAAAATTATTTCTATTCAGTTTTGGACTTTATGTATAGTCTTACAAAAGACTAGTCCTATTCATTCCTATTCAGCATCAGTTTGCACTTCTTCGTCACACATTTAGATCTTCCGCTTCTAAAAGAGCGAGCATTTCCGTTGAGAACCGTTGTCTTTTTACTTGCTTCCTTTTTCGCACGCAACTTAGAAAAGGGTCCGATGTGAGTAATAGTCTGTTTAAAACATCTTGGTTGCACTGCGTTCTGGAAAATTTCCTGCCAAAATCTGTTCTATAAGATCGATAATGCTTGTTGGGGGCTTCTGCAGTCTCCTCCGAAAATTGCCCGATAGGCAAGATGGCATGTTTTATGACTGTAGAGCCATGCACAAGAATTTTGTGTAGGGTTGGTGTCATTGGGTGCCATCCGTAGAGGTTGACATACAGGTGTGCAGTTTCATCACAGTATTGCTCAAATTTTTGAATGTTTATTTTGTATCCAGAAGATATTGTTTCTAAAATAGTCTTGACTTTTTTTATGAATTCTATGTCAATACCGGTTATTTCTGCAGCCAGGTCTGGGTCACTAAAAAACCTTCTTGAAGTGTTCCCCGAGTTTTAGTTTCCATAACCGGCTTTTGGCATGTCTATAATAAAACCAGTTTTTTCCCTATATTCCTTTTGGATTCTGTTTTTGTTTTCTTTTACGACTTTTTTTTCTTCATCTGTACGAGCCTGCCATTTTTGTAGAGGAAGTGTGTAAGATACGTGTAAAATAGTTTCGAATAAACGTATTCTCGCATGTAGAGTGGACAAGCCGAATCGTAATGATTCGGGATCTTCAGCACTTTTATTTTTTAAATTGTTGAAGTCTTTGGATGTTTTGCCACATATGTAGCAACGCATAGTAGATGTTGTGCCGGTTACCGCATTGCACACTTTAGCATCTACCATTGTGGGAATTAAGGTATGTCGCACATCAATGTCTCCCTTTGAACATAAGTTTGTTATTTTCGTCACAACCAGTTCTTTAGCTTGATCCTCGACGTATTTTATTTCCTGTTTTGTTACATCCACGGTTTCGTGTAAAAACTGAATACGTATGGGCCGGCAGAAACGCGTGGATGAGGGTGTAGGATTTTGCCATAAAATTTTGATTACCTCTTCTTTGTGGTATTGCAGCTTCAGTGGAACCAAAGAACTTTGGAATAGATTGGCATCGTCGCGTGAGCTGTCGGTAAACTTCTGTTGAAACTGTTTCTGTTGCGAGCATCACATCCCCATTTTATTATGAGTTCTAAATTCTTTAATTCCGACTCAGCCAAATGTTCGAGCACTTCTTTTAGAAAAAGACAAAGTCTTGTAGCAGTGTGGTCGACTAGATCCTGAAGTATAACTTCGGCACCCGTTTCAGTAACTCGCATTGACTCTTCTTTCGGATAACAAACTTTTTTTGCCTCTCTGATAAGAGTGTAACAAGGAAACACGCCTTTATTTGATTCATGTAGTATCTCCCACTGACTCCTAGTAAAATCGCCTTCAACAAATATCGATAATGCCTCTTCGGGTGTGTACTTCTTGATTTTTGTATTTCGAGCCATTTCTAAGGTTTTTTATACTTTTTTGCTCTTGTTGGCGTACAAGTAACATCTCTTATGATTTTAGATGCTGAAGCATTTCCTGACATCCGCTGACTAACGCTAGCTGCATACGTTAGCTCCTCGACAGAAACTTGTTACCGAAGTTACTTTGTTTTACGCCGTTTGCTTCGATCTGACAAATCCTGAAAGTCCTAATTTGGCCGACCTGGCTTAGTAGGAGTACGTGTCCAATTATGTACTGATATTGAAACTTTAAGCCATTCGTCGTTATTTTTAGTGAATCGTTCCTCAATATAGAATGCCGACTTCCATCTCTTCTTTAGTTCTGATTTGAAATGCCTCAAGTCGTAACTTATAGTTTGGAATTCCTCTTGTGGACATTTTGTTAATTCCCGAACTTTATTTTCCACGAATAACAATTTCTCATCTAATTTTCGCGCTGAACTCTCTTTAAAAATGTCAAATAGAGATTTCCTTGTCAATTGAATTACATTAGATGGTGCATCTGTAACAAATTAGAAAAAAAATTACATTAACACGTTCACTGCGGCACCAGTCAAAAATAGTTTGTTCCAAACTGCGTTACCAGTCACATATGTCTGGTATATAACCTTTCCGTTCCGGCGGTACCAGACTGGTACACTTGCCTTATCAAATCTGGCTGTAATTTGATAACATGTTTGAGAAGTTGAACCATCTGTCTTGAAATTTGTTCATCAATTCCTAGATGTGTATATGGTCCAGTCGCAAATAAAATGATGGAGTAGTTAATGAAAAACTGACATCAGTAGGAAAGCATTTATTTGGAAAAACGTACAATTTTACAGTTTGGAATGCTTTTCATTAAAACAAGAAAGGCACATGGCGGGTTGTTTGTCGCAGTTTGCGCAAAACGTATAAACTTTAGTAACTTTCTTGTCCGCCTCCCGACTTGACAGAGTTGCTCTTAATTTCTTGTAGCATCCTACACAGTTTCTACGACGTTTTGTCCCAGGACCTTGTTGTTTTTGAAGTGTGTGCACTTTGTGCACTGACTTTGATGAAGTGTTTATACTTGCGTCATCCCGAATCATTCGATTTTCTCCAATCAAGGAGAAAGCCAACGCTTCCCTAAATTTAAGCATGCTCATGCGGTTATTTTTATTAACTTCATTGTAGACTACATAAGAGTTGACGACTGCTGCACCAAACTAAAGTTCAAAGACGGATTTACGATACCACTTTAATCCTTTTCTTAAAGTGGTATAATAGGAAGACATTTGGTCACTGAGGTCTACTCCCTTTTTGGCTCTGTTATAGTCAATCACACATTTTGGTTTTAAAACTGACTGAGAGGCTCTATTCCTTTTTCCAGTGTCATGCACGCTTACGTCATGTTCTCTGTGAGTTGATATCATAAGAATTGTACGTTTATCCTGCCATTTGATTATTTTTATTCCATTACCATTTTGGACACCCACTACTTGACCTTTACTAATTTTTTCACGGATGAATTCTCTAGGAAGACCTTTTCTGTTGGAACGTAAGGTTCCACAATAAAAAGTTTTTCTCCGCTGCAGCTTCTCCACGAGTGGAACACTGGAGTAAAAGTTATCTGCATAAAGCTTGCGACCACTATCCAGGTTATTTTGCATAAGATCCATGACTACTTTCACAGTATGGGAATCATCAGGGTTGTCATCTTTTACTGTCTCTTTGCCACAATAAACTCGTAAGCTTATAGTGTATCCTTCCAATGTACAAAGTTTGTACAATTTGACGCCATATTTGTGTCTTTTGTTCTTTATATATTGACGCATGCCCAACCTTCCTCTCCAAGGGATCATGCTCTCATCGATAAGCAGTTAAAATAGAACCAAATCTAGTATTTAGGAGTTCCAAAATAGATCTCATGCGAAATAAACGATCTTGGGGATTCTGCAATTCTTCATTATTACTAAAGTGAATATGCTGCAGCAATAATAGGAATCTATCCCTAGTCATTTCAGCAGTTATAAAATTATTATGGTACAGAGCATGTTTAGACCAGTAAAGATTAATATCTGGAACCCTTACAAGCCCCATACAAATGATGATTCCAAAAAATAGATACATTTCTCGAGCATCTGTATCTATCCAACCTTTCAGGCGCGACTTATTTTTAACACATCCTGCATTCAGTTTTTGCGCAGCATACCTATTCGTTTCTTTGACAATTAAATCTATTACCTCTTGATCTATAAACAATTTAAAAACCTGCAAGGGTGTTTTACATTTTTCACAATCCACATTAACTTTCTGCCTCTGATGGTAAGCAGTAATATTTGGTATTTTTCCCATTATCCATCGGTGTCCATATATCATTCTCTAGGTCATCTAAAAAGGAAAAATGAACGTAAGTACAAACCACTGAAATTTATCATAAACTAGACATACTAATAATATCATCAGCATCCAGTTTGCTCCTTCCATCCTCTTCATCTGAGATGGTTGATGAATCTAAGTTTCTGAGAGGCTCCATATTATCAACAGAGTCATCTGAATCAAATGAGGAAACTAGCTGAAGATGTGCTTGGCTCATATTCTGGGTCTGTACTAGAATGATCACATGCAAACGGATCCTCTGGCTCACTTTCTAGAACGTCAGTCTCACTACTTGACTCACTATGATGGTTGTCTAGTCTTTCTGGTACAAGATTATTATCCGGAATATTGCGCTGCTCTTGTATTCCTAGTAAGTATAATAGTAATAAGTTTTCAGCTTCATCGATTCCCTTGAAAAATATATTTTAGTATGTATAATTCGGCAATATATTCAAACATACCTGCATCTCAAGTGCTAATTGGCACAATTTTTTTCCCCGTAGCGACATTTTGCATAAAACCACACACGTATTCACGTTTCTCGTATAAACCACACGTATGCATAAACATCAATACCAGTCACATATGTCTGGTACCGCACATATATAAAACAATCTTCGATTAGTGCGTTACCAGTCGAAAATGTCCGGTATATAATATGTAACCTATAAGAATCGGGACGTTGTAAGAATCATATAGGTATCTGTAATGTCAACATATCACTTTTAGTTGTCGAGAAATCTGTGGCTTGGATAAACAAGGGCCAATCTACGAAAATCAAGTTTGGAGATAATTTAGGATTTGTGAATTGGAACAAAATTATTTCTTACGCAAAAATCCTTTATCCGAATTGAATGAAATTTGGGTAGCATGTAACTGGATGTGCTATGATCCAAAATATATTGAAAATTCGTAGAAGTATTCATTTATTCACATATTTTTGTTTGTTAGGCCCCTACAATTTCGGCCTAACTCACATAGACCCTATATCTAATATGCACGTAGGCCCAAGAAAATGGTATATAAGCCCCATTGTAGGAAAGAGTATAACTTAGGCCTTTTTTGACTATAAAACGTTTTCCCCATTATGATTTATTTCAGCGTCAATAACAATAAAACACAGTTGGCAATGTCATATATTTTATAAAAGTATAGAAATAATCTCAAGAACTGTTTTCTAGATATTAACATAAACTAAAACTTTACTTTTTTTTACAATGGCAAAAAAATGAAAAAAGGCTTATTCATCATATTGTAAAATAGCTGTCGGACATACATCTTCATCGGCAGCTGTTTCTTCTGATTTGAGATTAGCATAAAAAAGCCGACAATTTGGGTGTATATATTGTATTAACGTATTAATGTCGTTTTTGGAAGAGGCAACGGGTACGAATTATGTAGCCTTTCCAAAACGAGTTGTGTCTCATCTGGCTGTCCTTTTTTCTTCTTTGTTATATCCCAGACTTTGAAATCTTCTTTTGCCAATAAGCCTTCCTTGTAGAAAATTTTTCCAGGGTTTTCCTTCGTGTAGAGGAAATAGTTTGCTTTCAAAAAAGACATTTGCTCTCCGTCCGCGTTTTTCTTTCTATTCACAAAATACGCTTTCTGAAGAGCGCTTATATTGTAAAAATCATCCTGAGACATGTCAATGACTTTAATTCCTCCTTTTCGCTGAATGCTGCGAACCAGAGTGGACCAGTCTCTGGGTATTTCTATATCCATTGTTGTGTGCTTTTTAGCTTTTTCTATTGAAGCATGAATCGAGTCTGCTTCCAAGTGAGTATGACCGGAGATTAGGAATTTGTGGTGGACTTCTTTTAGCATGTGGTTTGGTGGCAAAAGTTGAAACACCTTGGACAGTAGAGTAACAACATGAATGTTTTTATTTTGCCCTGAGCAGCAATCACTATATAAATTTAGACAGGTTGCCTCTGGGGGAAGTTTCTTATGTACTTAAGGAGACAGGATGCAATTTCCTGTCCTCCACGGTTTGAAGTGGTTTCGTCCCACATGAAACAAAAAGATCTATTTCCGTTGGATTTTGTAACCTCGTATATTGTTAGGTTGAAAACCCACAACTGCCTTTTATAAAAGGCAATTCCACTTTTTAGTTGGGGAGTCGGTAAACATTTTTGTAAGTCGAACATTGCCGTTACTATAGTTTCATCTTGTTTACTTTTTTCTTTGTCAATCCTTTTTGCATTGTACGCCTTCTCTGCTGCATCTAAATGTTCTTTTTTTTCTCGTTCGTAGTCTATTTTTTGTCCTTCATCAGCGGAAGATTTTATTAAGATGTTTAACTTATCGCACTTGCTGCAGGTATCGTTATGGGGTGGATGAAACGAAAGGTTGAAATTGGACACAAAAATACTTCGGTAATAGTGGTCAGACACCGGAGTTTTTTCCGCTTCTTTACAATATTCGATATAAAGCCTATACATTTGTTGAATGCTTAAATCGGGAGATAAGTATCGTTTCTCTGAATGCGATCGAGAATAATGACTCTTGTAAGCTGGAAATTTAGAGATATGTTGGATTACAAAACTTTTATCTTCATCTGATATTTTATGGTGGTTGCCATGCTTCCCTCTTTGGTCTGGTCCACATATTCCGTTTATAGAAAGCCTACACTTCTCAATCGTATATCTTACTCTTTTAAAACTTACATCCAGAGTATTCATAAACATCACCTTACAAACTTCTATAGGTAATCCTCCTTTGTTCAGTAGATAGGTATGACTAAATGATATTCTGCTGTCTTCTTCAAGTTTAGTGCATCGACGCTTTTTAAATTCCCTAACTGAACTTGACAAAATCTGAGTTTGTTCATTATATGTCAAAGAATAAAAGTCTTTAAAAATACTTATCCTTTCCTCATGGCTAAATTTTTCATAGCACTTTTTCTTGCATCTACATGGTTCTTTCAAGACTTTTGCCTGGACAATTTTATTCTTTTTTGTTTTATATTCTTGGCCATTTGCTCTTGCAACCTTCCTTTTAGATACTTGCCACCCTAACTCATTTCTGACTCTTTTTCTTGACTTTTTTTTCCTTTTTTGTGTTTCTCTCTCTGACTCGCTGGTTTCATTGTCACTTTCTGTTCTGTAAGAATTATCTGAATCAGTAGCAAAAGGATCGGTTATGTCGCTTTTGTTGTCCCCTACGTCCTGCAAAATATAAATCTATAGTTTAAATTTTCCTTCAAATCAATTAACTTACAATTTCCATATTTTGTTGATCAATATATTGAAGTTTTCCTTGATCTTGATCGGTAACAACTTGCTGGTTCACAGAGGAACAATGTGGTTCCTGGAATATATAGTATTTTCAATTTCAAACTTATAATGCTACTCTTTTGTAAGGTTAATGATGGATGATCTTAATATACACAACATAGCTAATTCCACTTTCCTCATCAAGATACTTACAATTTTCATTGTTTGTTGATCAATAGACTGGTATTGGTCTTGATCTTGATTGCTAACAACTTCCTCGCTAACAAAGTCTCTTACAAGTTCCATTGGTTGTTGATCAATAGACTGGTATTCGTCTTGATCTTGATTGTTAACAACTTGCTCGCTAACCAAGCCACAATGAGGTTTCTAGAATCACTATATTTTACAATTTTAGCTCCAAAATAATAGGTACTATTTTACACGCTATGTATACCAGCTCCGAAGAAAAAAACTTACTTGAATAACATCATTTTTCAAAATGATAATCTTCTTATTGTCATCGGTTGTGGTAGCTACATCGTCATTTATGTTAGAATTTTCCGTTTTATTTTTCTTAGCTATATCTACCATCCTCTGGCTTCGTGACTGATGTTTCTCATTGTACAAAGACATTTTAACTTTTGGTTTATGTTTGCATGTTCTACAATAATAATATACTCTACGACATCTTAAAAATTCTTTCAAGTACTCAAACTTACCTTGAACAAAAAAGAATGCAGCAAAAATTGAGAATTTATCACAAAACAGTCACAAAAAACGTGCCACACACACCTGTTCGTTAGATAAAATTTTGAGGTTATGTTTTTACCGGCAATTGCGCCGAGGCCTATGTTACACATCAGATACACACAATAAATACGTTTAAACTCAAAAAGGCCTATGTGGCAAATCCGACCAAAAGCGGAAAGCTATTATGTCTTTCTGTTGCACAGAGGCCCTTTTCAAATGTGTGTTTTTGAATAATGAAACGTCCCAAATTGACATAGGCCCAGAAATTTCAATGCACTTTGAATAAGTGGCAGTTAGGCCCTAAGCATTTAAATGAAAGGGGATATTTTAAAGACCCAAGGTCTCATAGGTCTCTATTTTCTGGGCCTATTAGTCACTTAGGCCGTTTTATGCTTATAAATTAATAATATATTTGTTACATGGGACCATTCAAAAAGGCGCAAACGGTAGATTGGACTTTACATTTTATATCTTGTAGTTAGGCCCACACACTTGCGCCCTTGTCACATGGATTTTATCGAAATCTACTAGGATTATTCTCTTGGGACCATTTTCATTGGAAAGAGAGTCATTCGATCAGTAAGATAGGCCCTCTAGCTAAATTTCTGCGAATTTGTACATAGGCCCTTGTTCGACCAAGCCACAGAAATAGTCTTCGCAGTTTATCCAAAGATGGCATCTATGTCGTCCGCCAGACAGGCATAGGTTTTACCAGACATATGTGCCTGGTAACGCAGTGAACGTGTTAATAAAAAAAAACTGAATTTCGCCTCTGTCATTAAAACTGATGTTTTACCGAATTAGTGGAAATATGTGGAAAATAAAATTGTTCTGCAAATAAGGTGGAACTCTAACCTTTATTATAACAACAACTACGTAACTCGATCGGACTCTTAGATACGACAAAAATACCAATTTGTTGAAAAAAATATGTAAAAAAAACAATAATTACGCATGCCCTTAAAGTACAAAAAAAAATAAGATAAATATTTTAAATTCAAACTAATTATGGATTAAAATTAATAACATACCTGGTTTTTCACTATCCATGACAAAATTTCTGATAATTTACTTCAAATACAATAAAACAACAAACGATTGATTGTCAGAAATGAGAGCGTGTCGATAATATTGACGTGCACCGCGTACTGGGACTGGGTTCCGACTACCTGCTCGCCGAGACGATGAGTTACGAGTTCGTTTGAAAACCGGTTAACGATAGATCAGTTACTTGACAACAACAAAACTGCGACTTGGGTGGAATAGGGCTCAATTTATATTTTGAACTTTCGACCGATTTTTAAGCTTAAATGCTCCTTAGTGCGTCGGCGCAAATTGTACGTTCGTCAATTTAATCATCAGATGAATCTTCATCATCACTATTAAACAAATATTTTTTTGCCTTTTTGGCCCTTTTGTTTCTGGTTGTGGTCTTCTTGCTTTTAACCTCTTTATCTTTGGTAAGTTTCCGTTTGTTACATTTACCTTCGACACAATTTTCTTTATTTTTAGTCTTTTTCTCTTTTTCAGTCCTTTTTCTCTTCTTTTCTTCAAATATGTTCTGCCTTCATTGGTGTGCTTGTTAAGATTTCATAATGTTTGTTATTTCTTTATTAGTTATGAGTTGTGGCAGTGGGCTCACAGTTTTTAGAATTTTAGCTACTCTTTCATCGTCATTAGTATCGGTCTCATTAAAATATGATTTAGACGGAGTTGCGGTAGATCTGACGGTATGTTCCTCCCGAATAGCAGCTTGCACATGATATGGTTGGAATCGGAGCTGGGCTTACAGCAGCTTCCTCCTGAAGTACTTCTGGTTGAATTTCTGTGCTACAAAGAATATATGGATAGCGGGCTAGCTTTCTTTTGTTTATTAGTTGTCTGCTTTAACGTAGATGGGATAGGAGATATGTTAGTTGGCTGCTGTACTGCGTCATGCACGAGCACAGATCTGGCTTCCTCACAAAATATTTCAGGATTCATGGGATATATTCCCGTTACTTGAAAGCCTGATACTCCTTTTTCTATAGGAGCTACTATAGTTTAGGCTTTTTTAAACAGTCCGGCAATGTCGTCTGGTGTGATTTTTATAAAACTTCTTGATTTCATGTATAAGTTGCATTCTTTGTTGTAAGGGGGGAATAAAACGCAACGTCAAGAGGGTGTAGACGATGCGATGAATGTGGCGGAATGCATTACAACATGGCTCTTTTGGCAAATCCCAAGCTTCGAGAGTAGCGTGACTGTTGTGATTGTCTAATATTAGCAAAACGGGAGTATCAGCAGTAGGTTTGGTGTGTTTAATAAACTGACGTAGTCATAAAATAAATATATTTTCATTGGTCCAGCCATTGTGACTACATGTGTCCACAGCTACGGGAGGTCCATTTTTCTCAGCTGTGGTGAGTGACGTTTTCGTGGAAGTATGAAAAGCGGTGGAATGAAATACCTTGAAGCACTCATAGCACATATAAGTGTTACAGTCTTACAGCTTTTCCATGACGTCACAGATCCAACTCGTTTTTGCCCTTTGGGAGCTATAATTTTTTTAGTCTCTTGGACGGTCGTTATACCAGTCTCGTCTACATTGTAAATCATCGTAGGTTCGAAGTGGTGCTGCGTCATCAATTTTTCTAAATTATCAAAAAAAGCTTTACTTCTGTCTTGTTAAATCCGAGAATTCTGTTGATACTGCTAATTGCTCCGGCCTTTCTAATACTCAACTCAAGATGACGCTGTAAAAATCCAGATGGCCAATCTTTTCCCGCAGTTTGACTGGCTTGGTTAAACTTTTGTTCAATAACCATCCTTTTAGCTGCACCATAACATACTTTTCAAAATTGGTCTCTCGTCAGTCCATAAAATTTATTTGACATAGTCTGAATATGACTAGCCAGTATTTTTTCTCAAAACTGAATACTGGATATCTTCCCAACTTAGGATTTTTTTGTACCGATTCTCGTTAGCTTTCGCAAAATTAAATCTCTTCTTTAAATTGCTGTTAGGTATTCCAGTTTGCTGAGATACTTTGTACACCGAAATGTCTCCTGCTCTGAGGATATTGACCGCATTTTCTAATGTATCGGCGGTCCAAGAAGCTTTCGTGCTTTTCCGAGTTGTTTTACGCATCTGAAATAAAAAGAATAATACACATATGTATGTAAAATGGTGTGAAAATAGATTTTAGAAGCTAATAGGGTAATGGGAGCTATGTCGGGTAGGCTAGCCTCCCATTTCCCGCTGACCACCATTTTAATATGAATAATGTAATTCTAATTTCAATCGCATCTAAACAAATTGCACTAGTTAGTGAATGAATCTACGGATGTTAAAATATGAACTATAAAATAAGAATAAAACTTCATGCTTACCTTGGAGCTGGCAATCCACAATGGTTTATAAGCGCGGAGCGAAAAACAAACAACCGTAACTTGTGACTGAGGCACTAACGACTCGTACCGGTCAGGGGTCAGGCGAAGTTTCTCGAAGGTTGGGGGAGGCGACCGAGTGTTTACCAATCGCGTAAATTGCCTACATTGCGTTCAGTCACCATAGCTCCCATTAACCCGCGCTTCCCTATTATTGTATAAATATATTTTGGATTTTATAACTTGCTATAGAAAAAAGAACACATCAGTCACTGTTTCCGACATATTCCTGGAACAAATAAAAATATTGTGAACATTGGTTGGTGTAAAAATAGGAAAAGTATTCCCAACAAATCACTGTCATTAAAAAGTTACTATCCCTCTTATATTGATGATTGTATATTTTGTATTATTTAAAGTATTCTTTGTATATATTTTTTGTCCATTGGTCTTCGATAGATTAGAAGCAGTAGAACTATAGTGTCTAGTTTATTCAGTATTGTTTTCTTTAATACAGAATGTAGATTGTTCACTGATGTTTTTTGTCATTGTTAATGTATTTTTATGTAGCATTGATATTTGTGGGGTATCTCAAAAATGTATCACAGTGTTAATCACTAATATCATTGCTCAGATTTTCTTATAGGGAATATCATTTTTTCTGTTTCAATTTGCGACGCAAAACCTTTCAAGTATTTTTCTAGATCTAGACTTAAACTTGGTTGATATTTTTATGTCAAGTCACTGTTAAAAATGTAATTCTATACCACTATAATTTCAGAGGACGTGATGAAAGTATGAATTTAAATGTTACCTTTTTGAGATATCTACGATATTTCTAATTTTATTTATTATGGCGATTTTTCTGTTAAAAAGAGCATACGTAATTTATTTACTGTTCATGGACCAACTCAGTGTCTTTTTAGTTCGCATATAACTGCTTTTTTTAAAAACGTGTAACAATTTGTAAGTTTAATAAAAACATTTTCTAGAAAAGTTATTCTTTCATTATTATCTCGTAATACATAGACGTTGACACCGGTAGAAATAATATAGCGTTAGTCAGGTCGATTCTACACTTTCCAAGCGATTCTGTCATCAATTAGATTATCTTCGTTTTTTTTAATAACGTATGTTACGGTTTGGGAATCACTCCGACATTGGATCCTCGAATTGAACGAGTGGTGTCCGACATGTCTTGGTTAGGCACGGGGTTGGATCAATCCGAGTAGATTGGGTCTTATCTACTCTGGAAGGTCGGCACGGGTATCACGTATCTTGAAAAGTGACATTATGCCGGTTTTTTGACATTATGTAGGTTTTTCTACAAGATATTAACTTAGCACTTAGTTGTAGGGGTTGCCTAAACGTCATGAGGCTTGTTATCAATCGTTGGCTCTGACGTGATGTAAAATCTGCTTCTGAGATAGCATTACTGGAGGTCTAAGCTGTAAGTTGTATGCGTTGATAATTACATTGGGTTCTTCTCTCACATACACTTAATTGAGATTCAAAGCTAGAAATTAGTTGCGCATCCACTTTTTCTTAGCCATTCTGGAAATTACATATACAAATTTGCTGAATTTCAAAAATGAGAGAGATAAGAAATAATTATATTCACTGTGCACTGTCGAATTACAAGCCATATACAGCTAACAGTAATTACACACAACGCGGGCGCGGTGATGATTTACCGTAATTCTCCTCAGTTTTTTGTAATGTATAACTTTGAACATAACCTCTCTTCAGAAAGCACAACATAAAAATAAACCGTCGGGCACAGCCAATAGATATACTTCATTGGCAGCATATTCAGTAATGATTTTCTCACACAGGAAATATCACTGATTTTATACACATGGAGACCATTACATACACCTTGGGAAAAACCATTATTATACCTACATTACGATGAGGAAGAGAGATGGAAATATACAAAAGTATGTAGGTGCGTGAAAGACACTCGATTGTAGGATCCTATCGGCAGCGTCGCAGTGTGACGGACAACGGGGTAAAGTAGAAGAGTGATAAAAGAGAGAGATGGCAGAACGGGCGCTGGCGCCTACCGCTTAGACGGATGCGCTCAACAAATGCGATTTGTTTCTCCCATTCGCAGAGTTGCCGATACCAATATGTCATATTTCTAAGAAATCTAAGTCTACCCAAATTTCGGGAAAAATAGCTGCGGATTCCACATAGAGTATTCCAAAAATGAAAAAAGTTCAAACTATTAAAATTGTATTAATGTTTCATGGTTCAAATCATATTTTTCATGTTTGTATATTGTTGTGTAAATGATTTTGTAATCCCTATTCTTGTTGCCAGTAGAGATACAACAGTATTGAGAGAAATCATGGACCGCTAGATAGGGCTACAACTACCATATGACTATCAAATAGTAGTGATAAACAGGGTTTGTTTATAGCACAGTTGCCTGGTGTGGACAAGGACAACTATAACGGTTACTATGGTGCCCGGTATTCGGGAATCTGGCAATACCTGATGATTCCTAACGTTTATTACGCCAGATTGTTTGCTGACTTGCGCAGTACAACATGACAATCAACGTGACTGAGCACCTGGTAACCCTGGTTTAAGGTGTTATATTTAAAGAGCTTGGGGCAGTTAGGTATCTAGGTCACATTTTTTAATGAGTAGATGTCTTATGGGGATTCGGTCTCAAAAGTTCCAAAATCCGCCACCAGAGGCGCTGGCGTCGCGCGCCATTGACAGGTTGTTGGACGGAATCTGTAATCATGAGTTGGGGATTCCGCCGCTAGATGGCGCTGTCAAACCAAACGGAATCTGTGTGTCATTGGACACCTGTCATGCGTCATTGGGCATCTCACGCATAGATGGCGTTACACGTCATCTGTCATACGTCATTGGACACCTGTCATTGATGGGTTGAGCATCTCGCGCATAAATGGCGTAGATTTGTTTGGCGGTGTACAAACCTAACGGAATCTATGCGTCATTGGACAGCTGCCATTGATGGGTTGGGCATCTCGCGCATAGATGGCGCCGATGTCGCACCTGTCTGGTGTTGGCGTGGATTACGGGGGGCAACGTGTATACAGGGGTGCATCGAAAAATAGCGGATCGATGGACCGACGGTATATCGTTAAATCGTATATAGCAAGGCGTGACCTAAATAGCGTGGTGGGCTCCTCTGGTCGGTCGGTCGGTCGGTCAGAATGTCTCATAACCTGTATACGATGTACTGTTATTATTATACAGGATGATACCGTTCAAAATGAAAATAGTATAATGGATATTTTATTGAAACATATAGTATATATAACAATAAGGTTGATTGGTGTGTGTGTGTGTGCCATGTTTTGAATACCCGCGCTTGAACAACTTGCAACAAGAAATTCCGACAATATTATTTCGCAAACCAGAGGTATTTTCAATAAAACTACATATCAGGGAGTACTTTAGATGTTGATACTAATCGACTCAAATCATTGTTCGACAACTGATTTGGTTCATGACAGACAAGAATCAAATTATGTATTTCACGGTTCAGTTCTGGTTGTTTTTTAATTTTTTCCCTAAACTTCAGGTAACCCAGGAAATATGTCTCTTATCCGTCCTCTGTTCAACACATCAGTAAAATCGTTAGAAAATTCTATATATGACATATTATTATAAAAGGTATAGGACCGTCCTGCGTTTGATTGAAAAATAGCATTGATTCGAGCCCTATCGGGTATATCAATTGAAAAATTATCAAGAAATTTAATGGTAGGGAATGATGCTGAGAAATAGTTGTTTGGAGACACAATGGTAATCAAGTCACCGTTTGTTGATTGGAAAATATGTTGTAAAGTGTATTGACGTAATTCTGTAGGAACATAATCGACAAGAAGTTCAGGCTGAGATGGGATAATCATTTCGTTTAAGTCTAGTTTCCATATAAACATATCATGTGCAATATATAATCGGTAATTTGAAAACTCTGGAGCAATAGCTAAAAACATAAAATCTGGAATAATATCACACAAATTTTTGAGGATCGGCTGCTTACGAGTTGTAGATCTTATAGTTGTTGTTGTTTTTGGTATTGCTGATGCGGTGGTAGACGTTGGGATTGAATCATATTTGTTTTTTCTTCCATATAGATATTGTACTGCATTTATATCATCAACATCTAGACCACGAATCTCATGCTGATAGAAGGCAAACATAATAGCATTCGGAGAAGCACTATGTGCTATGCCGAGAGCATGTCCAATTTCATGAACCAACACCTGATAGAGAATGATGTCAAAAATCTCAGATAGCAAATATAAATTCGTTTACCCCCCAATCAAAATCTTGACTGAAAAAAAATTAGGCAGCAAATATACAATAATCATACACGAATTTACTATATTTCTAAATTTCTACTCTCATGTGCAACTTGTAATTGGAATTTCCGCCGGACAAACGATACATTCATGTATTACTAAGAAATTATATAAAAAATACTGCAACCGCAATGAATGTTGTTTTCTCGATAAAAATGGTACTGAGAATATGATGCATATAATATGCATATTTACGATACAATTATCTCATGCACGCGTGTGTTATCTCAACCACGTATTTATATTTAGCGAGCGCATGCAATAGTCATCATTGTTTCACACTTAACGCACAACGCTGCAAGCTGGATACAATAGTGCTTCGAGAGAGACGAGATAGCGAAAATTTTAAAAAAAGTAAGTGCTATTTTATTTAATATTTTTCTTTTTTATGTCTCTAAATGCAACTGTTTTTTTTTCGTGTTATGCTTCAAAATAGTTAGACGACTCAATTTTTTTTATAGATGGATTTATCAAAAATTAATGCTGCGTCTTCGATTGTAGACCGCAAACCTATCAGAAAATTAAAGGACCTACCAGTCGGGACACCATTTGCAATCCAAGCAGCTAAAGTGGTCAAGTCGAAATTTGGGGAAGCCGTGCTACTAGATTTAGGACCGGAAGTGCTATTTCTACCACAGCGGGTGACGGAAACGTACCAGCCGGTCATCGACGAACTTTTTCACGGAAAATACTCGATCATCTTCCAAGGGGAAGTGGACGTAGGGAAAAGCCGACCGCTAGCATCATTCAAAATAGTGGAAAATTAACAAAGCAGAGAACAGGAGGAGGACAGGGTGAGCATTTTTATATATTTTTGAGTAATGTGTTTGCTTGAAAAAAAAAAATGTCGTCTTTTCAAATGTCTTCAAATAAGGTTAAAAAGATCATCAAACAAACAGACGGTGTTCTACTATCAATTGTTAGTCTACGGAAAATTTTATTTGATAATTTTACAATCAGAGACGCGGAAGTGTGGCTGAAACGAATAGAAAAACAAATTAGATTATGTAAACGGGTAATTCGTAGTAGAAGGCAAAATAAATTATCTGTAGGGACCTGTAGAAAAGTAGAAACAAATTTGGGGCATTTTAAACATTTTAGAAAGTTGATTTTAACTAGACATATTGGGGCAGGACTTCACTTAACATTGGGTCAGAGGGTTAGATGGGAAAATGTAGAATCGAGCTTTCAAAGTAGAATAAAAACCGGTTCCATAGCTAATTTGCGTCATAAGGACTTGAATCAATTTTTAGCAGATTGTGTAGTTGTTTTTAAAAGGAAAATTAGGAATATTTTGAACACCCATTGTGCGCTCAAAGTAAATACAACATTTTGCGGGGAGTTTATTAGGAAATCGGGGGATAATGAAATTTTGGGAATTAAATATATTAATACTAAAAATCATATTATTGATACATCAACTCAAATAGACGAGTGGTTTAAGATATATGTGAAAGATAAACTTTTAAACGAATTATCGGAATTTGCTGAAAAAGATTCGGGATTTGCGTTAAATAAAATTATTTCCTTAGTTGTTAATATCAGTAAATATCAATTGGGAAACGGTTCATCTTATATTAGACTACCAGAACCGATTATAAGGAAAAATGCTTGTATAAACATTAAAAATATAGATCAAAA